GAGGTATTTCATGAAGCTCTTTTAGGTTCTGGGATCAAAATTTAAAAATTTAAGAATTTATTTTTCTGACATCATCACTTCGGTACTCTATATGTTTTGCAAACGGTCAGTTCACTGAATATAAAGATTCCTAAACATACTGGCTAGCTGTTATCGCATTATGTGGCCTCTTAACTAAAATGTGATTGATACCACTGTGTATAACCCCGCATCAATATCTGTACTCCTGAAAAAATTACATCAATCGAAAAGCAGTGAAAAGGTTTGCAAAATGATATGGATTCTAAATTGAGCCTTCTGAAACGGAAGGGGGTTCCCCCGAATAATTAGACAGCAGTGTTTTGATATTCCTAACAAACAACAACAGATCTCTGTTTGCTAAAATTAGGCCGGTTATTGTTGGGTTCATTAATAGCGGTAGAAATTCCGTGATCCACAACTTTTATAATGTCATCTTCTCGCAAATTTTCTTCAAATTCTGTTATTCCGAAAACCCTGCTGACCATCACCTTACTACCATTTTTGCTAAAAAGTAATGTTTTTACCTGGGCAATTAACGAACTCTCGCTCATCATTAATGGTTTTCAAAGCTCTGTGTACATGGAACGCAAATAACACTATCTGGCCATCACAAGGCCTATCTGGTCATCACAAATGATATTTTTTCATATTAGGAAGACAACTTCAATAGCTAGCGGCGGATCCACTTATTCTTTCTTGTCAAACCCGGTGGAGTTAAATATCAATATTAAAATGCTTAAATTAAACCACATTATGCAGTGAGCCTAACAGACGTGGTTTACACAGCCTGATAACAATTCAAGGTATAAACAAATTGCCGATCAAGTTAGTAATCTTATTAAAAGCATTATGTAACTTAAAACTTAACCAATATCTGTGGTAATTTCCAAGGGAATCAATGTTCTGCTCTAGATATAAGTTCGATTCAGGGACTACGGGAATTATGGATGGCAAAATCTAGATCGGAAAATCTAACTATATACTAGCAAAATCTAGCTGTCAGAAGAAAGTGCCAACATGCTCGATTTATTCAAAAAATGGAGCATTTCAAGAATGCAATTGACACAGAAAAGCATAAAGAGTAAAGGAATCTCAATTTTCACAGCACAAGTTCAACTTCTTGCTGTTCGCATCCACGTTTGCAAGAAAATAACTGTGTGTTACCTGTTCAGTTTTTTTTTGCTTACCTCGAATTGGCCCGATTTCCTTTGTTTATCTTTTATGGAATCTTCTTCAAAACGTTTTCTTTCGCAGTGTCCTCCTTAAAGTGACAAACCCCAAACGAAACCAAAACGACAAAAAACCCATGATGAACCAAGAAACCCAAGAAAGAGTGACCACGGAGCAAATTACAATTTGAGGGGGGAGGGGGCTAAAAACTTTTCGGGGTGCTATTTTTTGTATGGTTTCAAGCACATTTGGGATTTTAGGAGGAGACCCCCAACCCCTTCTTGGCTTCGGCGGTCCTTGCCGTTATGTAATTTTCTGCTACTATGAAATTGCCAACAGGAAAACGGGAGTTGAGCGAGTAGGAGACTTATAATTACTTTAGTTTTATTGGTTAGTGAAGCAATTATAGTTAGTGTCCAATCTTTTTCACAAGATCTGTTCCTGGGCAGCCTTTTTGATAAGATCTTTTGTTTTTCAAAAAAAATCTGCGCAAATGGAACTTGTTTTGACATAATCTACAATATTTACACTAAAATTTGTAGCGATCTACGTGATGTTAAACATGAATATATAACTTATTTATAATTAAGACAGAAAAGTGCAAAATTAAGTATCGCAGTAGGATAGAGGGTAATGTCACATTAAAAAAGAACTTTGTTTTGAAAAATAGGATTTATCAAAAATCACAAAGTTTACTGGTATAAAACTAATTTCAGAGTTGTTCTGCAAGGATTGTAAAGAATTTGAAATAGTTGATGGAAATGTAAATTGGATACATCCGAAGAAAACATGGCAGATTTGGAAAGAGAGTTACTGGGATATAAAGGATATTCATAGAAATTATAAGGGATGCATTTTGGAGACATGCATTTTATGGGAAAGTGCTCATCTTTTCTGGCGATGATAGCAGATGTTAGAAAACAGAGTCAATTTGAAATTAATATACGAAGTACTGTATTGAATATCATATTGTGTAGCAGCATAATTGCATACGAGAGGTCTTCCATACTAAATTGCAAAAACCAACCAATCTGTTGTTTTAAGTAAACCTACCTCTAATATATGTCTCAGAGAAAATGTAATTATTTTACAGATAGAACACTCTTTTTATATAAGAACACGCTTTATAAGAACACGAACCTCAAAACTGGTCAAAATATAAGAACAAATTGACAACAAGCTGAGGCTGAGCTACTGTAAAATGTAATTTTCAACACTGTTTTATATTCAAACTTATCGGCAAACGAAGGTTGTTCCACTCACTTTGTTGGCAAATGAGGCCTGAACACCTTCCCATAGCGCAATCGCACTGCTTACACCCTTTTAATTTTGGAAGAAATTAAGAACAATCCAACTCAGATTTTCGAAAAAAATTAAGAACAGCAAGCCTGAACTTGACTTTACTGGTTTTTATGAAAAAATAGTGTTTGCTCAAACTAAGATGGTCAAATTGAAGAAAAAGCAATGCGATGTGAAAATTTTCGTTACGTTAACAAAACAGAGCATGTTTTATCCACTAATCAACTGCGCTACTAAAATGTCTTATAAAACTGTTATTTAGAGGTCATATGACAAATTTGTGTAAATGTACTAAATTCAATGCTGAAATAAGAACAGCATTAACAACACTCGAACCTTAAATTATCCAAAAAAAATATGAGCACGGCAAGTACTCATCTTGAGTTCTGCTTCTGCGTCAAATTAGACATGCCTCCCGTTAAAATTAAACAGTACATCCATGCGTTACCCTGCCTACGTTGAAAGGCTCTCTTGGTGCATAGTTTTTGAAACTGTTTCCTGTTTACATATTTATTGGTCAAAATACGACACTACTTAAATAATTATATGTCTTTAATAGACGACCACTTACTCCTGATTATGGGTTTACAGTCTTGATAACGAATGAGTTCGTGTTGGCCATTCTAGATAGTTCGTGTGGTTCAAATAAGGATTTCAAATCGGTTGTTTAAGACAAAAATGATATATAGTTGGATAAAAAGTAGGACATATTTTCACTAAAAAACGAGACTGGAATTGAAAATTTATCACCATACCATTCATAGTTCACGCTAGCTAGCAAAAGCAAAATCTTGTAGTTTTTTATAAATTTTACTGAAAGGTTACATGTTTTTGCTACATGCAAAAAATAATAACAAAAATGAAATGGAACCATTACGATTTTGTTCAACAACATCATGATGTCTAGAAATCTATGTGTTGAGGGTAAATACAGTTTGGATGTAGTACCATAATTATTGCAAATCCACATCCACAAACTTACTGTCTCAATCTCATTTAAAGTCCATCATACCTATGTTCATTAGCACTAAATGATTTAAAGAAAGGTTAACGGATAAATCATGATGGCCCATGATTTAGGGCCACATTTGCAAGTTATTTACTGGGTACCAAAACAAAGGGGCTTTGGGTGTGACTACCTGACAATATTTATTTGCCACACCCTGAATTGTAGTAAACATTAATAATTAACAATTTCCTTAAATCAAGATTATCACTACCAAAGAGTTTGAATTTTGACAGAAAGATAAGTAACTTCAAGACTTTTTGATGTAAGATCTTTGATTAAATAGATATAACTTTGCCTTTTTAATTACTGTTCTATACTCCAATGGCTAGAAGCTTGCATTGATTAAGAAGATTGCAGCACCGCCCTTGCTGAAATTTAGTAACTTGGAAGCACCGCCATGTCCGAAACATGAGGTAAAATGCTCCTCACAACTTGCGAGATCTATACTTTTGATATTTGACACGGTGTTGGTTCGTGACCTCCACCATGAATGAAGAACTATTAAAGGTCGATGCCTTAAAAAATTGTAAGTTTATGGCGATATCGAAAACCCTCAAGGCCTACCTACCGATGTGGGAAAGCATTTGGCACCAAACTGAATTTCCGCAGTAAATGCCAAGCCATAGTGTCAATATTTTTCAATATTTCATAGCTGATTTATTCGCATAATGAAGCCAATAACAACGTTACACTATCGCGCGAATACGTAGTGGGACGTAAACATGTATGTTGTGAAGGCACTAATAGACAGCAAAGCAAACCGAGGCTCGTATTCGAAAGTGTCTGATTTGCGTGATCAATAGAGTTAGATAAGCATTCCATGTCTTCGAGACACTATCACTCATCTAAATTTTTTTAGATCAGTGGACACTATATCTACCAAGCCGAAATTGTGTTATATTTCAGAAACTAATCATATTTGAGAAACTGGTTTTACCTTGTATATGGAATTTCCCATAAGGTCTCTCGGACTAGCATAAATAAATATGTTTGTATATATTATTAAAAGAAAAGAAAACATACCTTGTGGTACTAAACTCTGCGTTATGGTTTCTGTGTCCAATACCTTGTAAACAGTCACAGGTATGTTGTTGTTAGTAAGGAAAACTATTCATATATATCGCCGCGAGTAAGTTCACACAACAGAGCATGTGCTGCAGTAATCCTGAAACCTTTGATAGTCTGTAATATATCTAGTGTTTGATTTAATACAGGCATCAGTATTACATAAAAATGTGGAATAAGTATTCCCTTCCGTTGACCGGAGCGGCTACCGTGCACACGCGCAATTATTGAGCTTATCAATTGGGCAACATGGCTGCTTGGCAAAAACCCAAAAAATATTGCTCTAATTGTGTGCTTGTAAATCAGGCTGTAATTGGCTGCTGGTATGTTGCAGCCAGGCAACAGCTGCTCCTTGCAGGGGAGGCTCCAGCGGAATTTGAACCTAATTCATAACTTACATAATAGATGACTTGATTATACAAAACAAAACAAAAAATACTGTTAAGGACACATCAAATTGGTTGGAAAATACAATTAAAGTAAGATTAGAATAAAAAAGGTAATAGTAATCAACTTATCGAATCAAAGAGTAAGGTATGTAGAAAAAATATACAGAAGTATCGGGCGGCATGCTCGTTTGACAGTAATGTTGCTTAATTTTGAATTGAGTTGAAAATGACAAGTATAATAGGAGGTTTAATCTCTGATTGCACCATAAGTGGCCTAAGACACAGTAATCACTTTTCCATAATACAGGGTAGAAAAAATTAGGAAAACACAATTAAAGCATGGGAATACTAGAGGGTAATTGTTTTTTTATTTTCATGAATCGTGTCACATACTTAGTTAAAGTTTGACTTGAATATACAAGCACTGCCTTAGAATCTGGCAAATTAACAGAAATCAATTACCTGCTTATATAAAATCTTACAAAGCTCTATATCTGATGTACAGTACTAGATACATTGCTAACTGGATGTTCTTTGATATTCGTTAAAATATCATATAAAAATATAATATATATGTAAAATTGATATTCGTAATTGACGGGTTTAACCTTGATATCAAACTGCTCGGCGGGCTTCTGCTTAAATCTGCCAAACCCTAAGCAGCTAAAAAATTTGACATATAACAAAGGAAATATTAACCGAAGAACTGTAAAACAAAGCTGTGATTGCCTTATAACTGTACATGAAATTCTTTAATTAATTTTCTCACGATTAGCATTATAAAAACATATCAAAACTAACGATCATTCTACAAATGGTTTTCTCCTAAAATTCTTTACTTCAACAAAGTTAAATTGAGTTCCATATCACAGCGACGTTTGGTTTAGTCACAAACCAAAAGCCAAACAATGCAACCAAATATATCTTGAGCTAGCATGCTGTTATTCAGTGGATTCTAAATGTCTTTTATGACTTAAGGAGTTCAACTAGTTTATTCCTGATTTGCCAAATATGTTTAAGTGCCGTTTGGGTATACTTGGGCACTTTTTAGCACAAACGTATGTCCTTGGTAAGGGTAACTGCATTCCAATATTTTCATTTGATCTTTAAAGATTGGAGCCAGGTATCATCTTCAGATCGACGACAATTTTTCCAATACTTGATCTACTGTAAAGGTACTGGAAAAAAAACCAAACATATCTTACGTCAGAAAGACCGGATTTTCTTAAGAACAGGCTAGAAACTAGTAATCTGCAAAAAGCTTCGTTGCATTTAGTTTCAAAGAAGTTATATTTTGAAGCGAACAACAAAAAGAGGCAATTACCAATACCATTCTCTATGTTTAGTTCTTATTTCAATTTAAATCTCTTGCAATTAGAGAAACACCACGAATACAGAATACAGAAGGCAGTTGCACATTTTCTGACCAAAACATTCATGTTAAATGATTCGCACAGGGTGAGTTTAAAAGCTACGTGTCTATGGTAAACCAAAGGGTGGAGAGAGCAACTACCTGATAGAATGAATGCTGTTTTGTCAGAACTGATGGAGTAAATGTTGGCAAAGATTTAACTCTAAAATGCACCTTGGCAAGATTAATGAATTCAAGATTTTCTTAAATGAATGTACATATCCAGTCTTTGCAGAAGTTGCAGTCAATTCAAAATGCCAACAGTCCGGACCTTCGTGATATTTGTAAGACAATAATAGTTAACGTTTTCGGGTTTGGAAAGCTCTGATGCTTCTTCAGAGAGGTATGGCATGCTTTTGGTACCCGTCATAGTTTCCAGAGTGGCAGAAGAAACATAAAGTTGCCCAGATCATGGAAACAAGTCGGAAAGAAATTGAAACCGCGGAAATCCGCAAGAAGATATAGCATTCGATCTAATAAACGTCCAGACCTACAGTGATGTTTTTGGCTTCTAGGAGGGCGATGATTGAAGTGGGGCGTTTAGTTGGAGAGAGCGTTTATTAGAGAAAGAGGGCGTTTAATATACCAAATATGGCAATTGGACGAGAACAAAGAAAGAGCGAAATAAAAACAATGAAACAACATCAATGCTAAGTGTCACCTCAAGCAGAAACAAAAACCTTTTTGACTAAATCTGAAACTACTGCGAAGGGTAGAAACAAATTCGATGCTATTTTCATGACAAGAACCATTATTCGAATAAATGCAAAAGAACCAACAGATGTTAAACTATGAAGGGCAATTCTACTTGCAGCAAAAAAGTACATTATTTGGGGGAGGAACTTAAACGAAGATTAGCTCAAGTAGACTAAAACACTTTATCTCCATACATTTGGTTCTAATAATATGTTCTGCTCTTGTATTAAAACTTAAAAATACAAATCGGTGTATCTCTAACTCAAGCCCAGTGCTGATGCACTAACGTATTCACAGCAGGTTGTCATTGATAGAAAACAATACAAAAGACAAGGGTTTGGGTACGGACCAGCGTCTAAGAGGTAGAACACTGCATTAGTAGCACCCTCAAATCCTTGATAACCGCATTGTAGAGAACGATACATGTTTAGTGTATAGAACATGATAGATCCAGTGGCGGCGCCAGCTGCGGCAGAGTGGGGGGGGGAGGGGATAATGGGTGTTACCCGTGAGACCACGCACTATTGGCCTCGTTTCAGTGCTTTGTATCAGGTCAAATTTCCTTAGGAAATATGACCTACCCCTACCTAGTGCTTTTTAATCCATTTTTAAACGAAATATGTAGACCATGTTTCGACAAAAGGGGGGAGGTAATTACCCCCCCCCCATACCATCCCTTGGCGCCGCCATTGGATAGATCTGTCATTTGCTCCAAAAATTGATTTATTTAGAAATAACAAAATAAATTTGATTCTAAAGCTAGCTGACGGTTTTTAGCAACCCATATGAAACTTTTTACTCACATCAACAGCATCGAAAACAGATTGTAGGCCGTCACTGCTTTGGGTGCATGGAATGACTTCTATGTGAGGCTTCAACTGGTCCTTCTGAACGAGGTCGATCAACTTGGGAAGGTACTCTCCATAGTGCTTGGCATGATTCATGAGGAAGAACCCGCGAACGCTTGCAGACTTTAGAAGGAGCTATTTGATAACAGAATAAATACATTTGACACAGACTGGGAGACAGGAAACTTCACTGCATATGCTACAAAATTATGCCACAAAATCAATTTATGGAAATACATTTTTATGTGCTATATAAAAGAATTAAATAAAGGAAAAATAGAGTCAATGATATATTTGCAGAAAGCATGCATAAAAACACGTTAAGTTAAATGGGTGTGTCAATTGCAACTGTATGTTTGAATAAAACCTTCAGATCTCTTCGCCACACTCACATGTTAATTATGTCAAATTAAACTGGGAAAACCGGTAAAAACCTTAGGAAATATTATATTCCCTTGTTGTTTTGTCTTGCATAAAAATCCTTTCTTGTATACGGATGTTTGCAGCGCGTTTAAACCAAGTATTTTCCATTAAAAGGAGGAAAATTAAGATCAATTTGCTATTAACATCCTTACTCAAATTGATTATTCAAATGACAACTTAGCATGTTTCAATGGGTTACAAATGTTTCTAATTGCTAACCGTGGTTTAAAAATTAATGACTCTCAGTAGACTTATCGTTCACTTGTCGCAATTAGAGCTTCGAGGATTCACGAGGGTTGCACAAATTAACGACCAACAAAAAGAAATTAAAAAGTTAACTAGATTTCAATCCTCTAACTGACTGACTTTTGTTTTTAGCATCCTGTTTGGGTTTTTGCAATTCACACACCGTCTGTAACGCCTAGCCATTTTGAACCACCTTTAATAGTTTGGGATAAACCATTTGAAAAGCACAAACCTTTTGTATAATTGTTGCATGCTTGACATTCCTATCCACGCCACCTGGAGAATGATAGCTAGATATAAAACCAAGAGATATGATGCGTCCCCCTATTGCCAACCTAAAATGATAAATAAAATATCAAAGTTTAATGATAAAAGCCTAGATTGGTCACAGCCGCGGCTCAGCAAAGTTTCTAGGCAGCTGAAAACTGAGAGTAGCATTGAGAAGTCAACGTATCAAGAAATGGTTTATTCGGAAACCATCTACGCATAAATAATGCCACATTTTCATAAATTACGAGCAAACAGTTCCATGCTTCAAATTATCCACCTTACATGCAAAATTTGTAGGCTGATATTCTGTTTATAATGTATGACGGAGTCACTAAGTACCACGAAGACACGTGATGCAAACTTACATAATCTTTAGAACTTTAGAATCTTTAGAAACATCACGCTGACATTGCTTTGTAATTATAATTCATGGTATGATTAGTATGGGTAGGAATTTCTGGAACATTCGATGATAATCTCGCAAGTATTATGTAATCGCGGTAGGTATTTTTCTAAAGTGACGTAATGATAAGTAGCAGAATAAATAGAGGCTGTGTGCCCGGAGAGGGAGAACTTTTTTAGTGATGGTTTGGAAGTAGAGTTTTAAGTGATAATTTCGGCGTGGTAAAATTAAAAGGTATATTTCTTTGCTTCGTGGACTGTTCGAGTAGTTGTTTGCTTTCGAGGCAATATTGAGTTCACGACATAATGAAATAGATCTACTTCTTGAAAAATATACAGTATTTTACGGGATTTATCGCTATATTGAAAGTCAAAACAGGACGTTACTTTTAATCATTGAAAATTGTCAATTGTTTCCTCATTTACGTACCCAACTAAAAAAGGTACAAAACTGGTTATTTTTCACTTATTATTAATCTCGACAAACAAAGAGTAGGATACGCATTCCATGTCTTCGGGACACTATATCTACCAAACCGAAACTGTGTTATATTTCAGAAACTAATCATATTTGAGAAACTGGTTTTACCTGGTCTATGTTATTTTCCATTAAGTCTTTCGGACTAGCGTAAACAAATATGTTTATAAATATCATGACATGTGTTTAGCATCAGATACCCTGATTTTGTAATGAATCCTCACAGGAAAACATTGTAAACAGTCTTAGTTTAGAAAATTCTTATGTAGCTATTTTCACCGTAAGTTAAAAACGCCGTCTTAAAATGTGATTGAATTGTATAATAAGTAGTTGCAAAACTGTTGAAATTTCTCTTTAGCAACAGATCCGTTACCTATTCAAGCAGGTCTCAAACACATTGCCTCCAATGGATTCGTACACGACGTCAATACCACGCTGTTAAAATAACACAGATTGTGATCATTACATATTTTTCTTAAATGAAAATGTATACAATTGTAACATAACATGCCGTATATATATTTACTATTTCATACTAATCAACTGCATTAAAGAAATTTCATACATTTAGAGCTCTTAAATAAGGGATAACAACACTACAATAACCGACAAAATGCAATTTTTGAAATTTTCTACTTTACGTTGCCCGTATAAACTCGAGTCCCCCTTCCCCCCGAATCAATGTTGTATTTGTAGTCCTATCATTTTTTCTTCAAAAACATGTATTCAACATGGAATTAGGGAAAAGGGGAAAGTTATCTTTAAAAGTAAAAAGAAAACATAAAGTTTCTTGAAAAGTCTGTAGTCTTTTTGTCCAGGATTGTAGTAGGTAGGATAGGGCAAAGACAGAGAGGTTGCAGGCTTCTGAAGTAGTGAAGACCTTCCCAACAGGCCTTGCAGCCCTGCGCAGATTCTGAGCGAGGCAATTGAGTTAAGGTAGCAGCCTTTTTATTGCTTTGTCCAGAAGTGATGAAACAAAAAGAGTTAAGGCCATGAAGACACCAGAGGGAGCTGTAGGATACATAAGGGTATTAGGGGGGATGGAGGGGGTGGGTTATTTAGGAAACAGATATTTACGTGCATAGGAGGCTGCGACCAAACAAGTCGGTATTTCTTTCGTAAAAATCTTGGATTGAGTTTTGTAACACATCTCCAAAATATAGGCGAAGCCCTGCGTTTTCAACTCTCAAACAGTAAATGTGTTCCCACAAGAAGAACACTGCATTACTATCTAAGTGCAGCCTCTTTTGCTCGCTAAATGGCTGATTCTATAAACACAGAGCTGCATAAAGTACGAGACCTGGCTCAGGTCAGCAGATCCCATAAAGCATTTTACGCACCTCCCTGAACTCCAAAACTGGAATACAGGAATATTCTAAAAAATTCAATAACCACAAAATTTTTTGAAGATTTCAGCAAGAAGGCATTGCAATTACCGGGTATTCATCACGCAAAGCTTTACCAAAGTCTTCTTCCTTATAATTGATCACTCGATCACAACCTAAATTCTGAAAAAGATAAGCAATAAAGTGCAAGGCCAGTCAAAAAATAAATTACAATTAAATTAATGACTTATTTAAAAAGACAAAAGATTAAAACTTTGTCTTTGCATGAAATCTCGACAAATGCAACCAACCGCAGAATATGCTTTCAACATGTGACAGATACTCGTTCTACTTTAATCATCTTATTATCATGACAAGAAAATAGAAATTGAAATCACAGAAAACACTGTTGAATGTTGAACAGAGTCCAGAAAAGTTGTTAACCTTTCTCCAGACAAAAAACATCCCAGAAGGCAAACCTTCCTCACAAAACAATAGAAAATTGGTGTTGCTTGGGTGTGTCATAGGAGCGTCTATTGTTTTTCGGGGACCTTCCTCCCGGTCAGTGACCCTGCGACCGAAATGTTTTCCTGACTCTGCTGGAACATGCTTCAAGACGCCAAAATTCTTGGTTGTTATCACTACATTTATGATTCTTTAATTGTTTCGGCCATTATATGAACTTTTTAGTGAAAATAGACGCAAGGATATTAATTTTTTTATTAGCACTGAACTGATTAATAAGTACAAAAGAGAAGAGCTCTTTGGCTGAAATTCATTTAAATGCTGCTCATTATCACCACACAATACCTATTCAGTGGTATCACGGTTTGAGTGTACTCTAAAACAATCATTCAGAGATCTGGAAAACAAACGATACATACCTAAAAAGGTTTTTAGACATATTATCAATTGGAGGAGCATAGACAAGACGGCCACAAGCTGGAAGAATGCCAGCATCTTAAATTGTACAAATACGTTGAAAAGGAAACGCGATCATTTCTTTGCGCTTTTGCCTTTCGTCTACATGACAACCATGAATTTGTGAGTGAAATAGCAAGCAGTCGCAACGGAATCGAGATTGATATCATTTGAAAACTCAATGATTTGAAAATGCATTGTACATGCGGCCATTTTGATCCGCTGTCATTGGGGTGAAAATGCAGTCAATTGAAAACATCTGTGTAGATGGGGTATTTGGATTAGCAAGTAAATATTGCTTCAAAAGACAATAATATCCCTTGCTAAGGTTCCTGTAGAACTTAGATTCCTGATTGAAAACAAAATAGGCATCGTTGCTTTTTGCATCAAACTACAGATCTCCGTACCTGCAAAAAGTCAACTTTCTCTTTTGAAGAGCAAAGGGCAATTACATGGCAGCCAGCCAGTTTTGCCAATTGTACCTGAAAACAAACGGATTATATTAATGGTTAAAACAAGTCACTAAAAATATCTAATTCTTGTTGGCTCACAACAACGCAAATTTGGATAAAAACTTTGCCACTTTCTTTTTGTATTCCACTATACAAATTATGTGAAACACTACTTTTCAGAAAACATTCTACAATACAGCTAGGACGATACCCCGAGGGAACAATCAACATAAAGAAAGAACAGTTTTGTGAATTACATTAAATTACACGAAAAGGTAAGAGAAATGGCTTGTAAAAAGGTTTTGAATCGTCAACTTTTTGTCATATACTGCCGTTCCCTATGTCAATGTAGACGTTCAAAAGAGATCAATATCCCATTCTATATAGTTTTGGTCAAATGAGCGGTAAATTTAAAAGAAATTTAAGGAATAAAATGATTTTTTATATTTATCTTAAGGCACAGATTGACTGTGATAATAGGGTGCTTAATTAACTGTACGTACAGCGAGATGCCCAGTTCCTCCTGCAGCAGCTAAAAAAGAAAATTTTATCGCACATAAAGCAAGCAATAGCAAATACAAGAATGACATATGTCTTTACAACAGTATGTATATATATATAAATATATATAATATTATAGAAGAAGACAGGCTAAAAATAAGACATGTTCGCTGTTATTCTGAGTTTCATGCTTGCGCACTCATCAGACAGACTAGCAAATGCTCTGTGCTACTGCACAGCGAGCACTGTTAAGTTAGAAGAGACAACGCAATCTTGAATATATATATATATATGATATTATATAACTATTTGAAGAGCAATAGAATGTAACATTTTACACGTAGAAATTGCAGAGTGTGCATAGTTGGCCAATCATCAGGTTTTTAATTTCAACCTTGTAATATTAAACTTGTATTCTTGCAAATATTAACGTTTCCTTGGTAAATATTGGTATTTAATTGATAACAGTGATTTAATATACTGAACAAATAAGCCTGTATAAACAAGAAAATATTATTTATTATCATCATTACTTTTATCGTACAAAGCAATTAACTGCCTAGTTAAAAATAGAATCCTGATCATTAACATTACACATTCGTGGTAAAGCAAGGTCATATTTTGAGAGAAGAAGGTGGAATCAAAGACGTATTATTGAAACAGAATTGAAGCCAAAAGGTAGGCAAAGGGTGAAGATGATTGACTTGATAAAGGAAAAGTTGAAGGTGAGGAAAGATTTTGAGATTGGATCGAGATAGAGAAAGATGGAAAAAGATCGGACAGAAACTGAAGGCCTCGTGAACTCCTACGGCATGATATGCTATGGCACAAGAAGAAAAAGCAATACATGTATCATCATGGCTTCGTTGCTATTGGAGAGGGTAAACATTGCAATGTAAGAACCAATGAAAAAAATTTACCTGTTATCAACACAGTTTCTTTTGGTTTTAATTCCCCAAGCTAAAAGCATGGAAAGAATTGACTAATCGATGTACACATTGTGGTAGCCCACTGACATCAACGTTACCTTATTACAGGTTATTTATGTAGCACTTAACTGACGTCACGCCAATTATACAGCCATTAGTTCGACCCTACAACATCCTCCTTAAGAGTGAATTTTATTAGTGCAGTTAAATAGGTAACATGACAATTTGAAAAAACTGAAAGAAATATCACACTCCTTCAATTTACGTGTCAATTTATGCAAAATTAATCTAAAAAGTCACATTTATATTCATTAAACCGGTCCTAGGAAACCCATTGGCAAATGCAAGGGCAGTCTTACCTTCTATATGTGAGTTAAAAGCTCTGAATTTCCCTATAACGCTCGACCATTAACCACAATACGATTGTGTTAACTGATAGTAATTATACAGAAAATAGAGAAATATGAGATTACAGGGTTGAAAGATGAGATGATTTAGAAGGGCATATGTAGTTAGAGGTCCCGTTTCAATTTTATTCCTAAGGGCCAAAGGTGCCTTTGTTACGCCAACAACCCCCCTCAATTCAGAAGGTTTTTTTCAACCCTGTAAAAACGACATAATTGGTTTTTTAAAAAATGATACACTTGATTTACTGTTTATCACGATATCAAATAAGGATCTGTTACAAAAACAAGATAGAAACCTACTTTATCAAAAGCAATTGCAGCAGTCAGGCCACTGATTAGCAGTGGTACATAAGCAGGTTTTTCGGCTGGAAGGGGCAAGGCGACTTTTGCTGGAAGAGTCTGTAGAAAAAAGGATTTTAGGATAAATGAGCAATAAGAACAACTAACCATGTTTATTGTTCTTGCTAATATAATCCGTCAGACTTTTTAAATTAGTCTCGCTCAATCTATTTCTGACAACGTAAATTATTATTGATTGCTTGATACATACAATTTTCAAGGTTGCAAAAACTAGCATCAAACAACGAATTTTGAGACATTATAAGCTAAAAAAGCTGCTTATCCCTTTCAACCCTTTTTAGGGGCTCTCTGTAGTCCAAAATTTAATATTTTTTTCTCAAACCTTTTACAAAACAGGAATTCATTAGGGCTCATACCCAAGTAATAACATAAATGTTTAATTAGAAATACTCATTGTAAAGGACATATCCAGTGGGGGTGTTGGGGGTGTTAGGGGCAACATCCCCCTGGTTTTTTACAAATCTCAGCAAAACCACTGAAAAAAGGAATATTAATAACAAGGTTGTCTTTATTGATGTCTTCTTAAGTTACATTTGAGTTTTTCATGACACTACACTGCCTCCCCTTAACTTAGCATGTGACAGGCATTGCCTCTGTATTATGATTGGACAATTAAGTCTCCTTAGTAGTCTTGTTTCCATGCGTGATTAAATGAATGAAATCTTTAATTTTTATTAGTTCTTATTCATTTTTTTAATTGTATATCAATATTTAAGTAAATAGAGATGACAAAAAGTAAAATGTTGCTGAGATGGCAAAAACATGACTAGAAGGCCTCTCTCTTATATTGACTTAGCGTCTCAACTCGTGTAGAAAACCATTCATAAGAGCAAAATATGTTTAGTTTTACATGTGTTGATCTCTTTGATGGTCACAGTCCTTTTTGCAGAATATTGCAGAATTCGACACCTGGGTAGAATTACCTTGGAAGAGCAAAAATGAAGTGTCACAGTATCGCATTTTTTGAAATAAAAACAAAAGGGAAAAGAATCTTACAATGTATTCTGAAAAAGCTCCATTGTATATATATCCAACAGCTTTGCCTTTGAGCTCAGATGGAACATCTTTTCCGACTTCAACAATGGTGCCAACACCCTTTATATAGAAAAGAACAGTTAATGATAGCTTAATTACATAAATTTATTGATAATCAATTCAAGACCAAGACCCTCTGACACTAGTCAAACCTATCTGTTTAGCTTTGTGCTAGAAAAATTCTGAGATGCAGCTGCTAGAGGAAAAATTGATATCTAAACGGTAAGTAGCAAAATAATTAATGACTGATAAAATCAAAATATTAAAAAAGAATAACAAAGTTCACCATGACTTTAAACATCATATTCACAGAATCTAGGGGACAATATGTTTTGTGTTTGTTCTATCTGGCATATTGATTTTAAAACTGCAGAAAAACTACAATACTTCTAAGTTTGGCGTGCTGTAAAAAATTTAAAAAAAAAGACAGTGAAAGAAGATAAGAAGTAACTAACCTCAAGCCCAGTTTCAAGTGGAGGTTTTCTTGAAGGTGAATATCTCCCAGCAGCAACATTAACATCTGTTGCATTGATTCCAACAAATCTGGTGGTCATTAACAGTATTAATGATATAACATGACAATCCCTTAGGTATCTTGAGAAGATATTCATAACATTAAACAGATGTCATCCCCTGTTGAATGTACAGGACCCATGCCACAAAATCGAAATTGGGGGGGGGGGGCAAGGCTAGCAAAAGTAGGGGGCCAAGGCTTCTTTCCCTTTTTACTGCAGCTCTAAAACTAAATTCGTTGGAAGTGGTAAATTGATTACTGTCTCACCAATGTATTTTTCATAACAAAAAAGGAATAATTTTTTGCTGTTTAATTATGTATCATTCAAAGATAAATGGTTCTGCAGATATGCTCCTGCAGATATATTTCGCTCCTGTGAAGTTTCCTGGAGATACATCAAATAATAACAAAAGCTAAATTTCCATTCCGAAGCAGTTACACAGCAACTGGGTACCTCAAGCTTGGTGCTACCTATAAGCAAACCATTGTTTTGAGCAAATTTAGTCCCTTGCTTTTAGGAATATTTGTAGTATTTTGTCAAATGAAAACATTTGTGGGAAGTTCCAGGATGAATAACTCACTGTTAGCAAGTATCCAAAAGAGATTGTTAAAACATTCCACATTGAAGACAAAATTTATTGAGAATGAATAATTATCTACACAGGTCATATTGAACGGGAAAAGAGCAGTATGGAACAATCTACCTGTAGAAATGAGAACTACCTCTTCTAAATTTTTATTCAAAAAATATTTGAAAAGTTATCTTCTAGAAACTATTTGAAAGTCAGTGAGCTTTGCAAAATTTCTTGTTTAGTCCATAAAGTAATTTAATTTAATTCAACGAGACATAATTATAGATGAACATATAGATCGCTGAAACAAAAGGGGGGCCTTCATCTTGTTAGTTAACCTACTTTGAAGGCTCCTCCTTAAAGACACATTGCTAACAATGGGCCTTTGCGAGCGTGGCGACGCTCCAAACAATGGCAGTAATTTATTTTAGACATTATGGGATGCTTACGTAGCGCAATGGCTCATTGTTAGCAATGAGTCTTGAAGAATTCTGCTTCATTTTGTCTTTTAAATATTGTCTTTTAAATAATGTTATTGTTGTTGTTGCGTTCTTCAGTTGATTTGTTTATAATTTATGAAACAAACTAGCTTTTCGAAATGTAGTAGAATTTGAATTAAATCAAATCAAAATCAAATCAAATCAAAATTTGGTGTCACGTGTCATGTATGGGATGACCACAGCCATATGCAAGATTTTGGGATGACTACAGCCACACTTATACTCATGTCATTTATAGAGAGAAAGAGAGAGAGGCTATTCTTCTCACCCTCAAAGGACCCTGGAATGTTCATCCCAAACAGGAGGACATACTTTTTTCCCAGATCAAGCTTCCCTCCCCCCCCCCCCCCCCCATTACATGGGGTGTAGTGCTATGAGAATAACAAAATGGCTTTTATAATATTTCTCAAAAAGCAATAGCAAGAATCTATTTGGTAGACAATAGCACTGTAGTTTTAGCCCACCCCCAAGGTCCCTAAAAATAGATCACTGCCTATTTCCTTTGCCTCCAAATGCCTCTTTCCTTTATATGTATTTGTATTTTCATTGGTGCAGTAGTACCAGCATGCTTAGCTATTTCCCCCTTGGTCCCTTAGTCTCATCAACCCCTCCTTTTTTGCAAAACAATAAAACTTTTTTCCAAAATCTTTCGTCATGAGTCTTTCCTTTGCTGTTGCCCCCCCCCCCTACTTAAACAGGGAGCACAAGATTTGATTCTGCCAGAACGTAGGGGCATGTGCCCCCAGGCCTAGGGTAATTAGGCCACTTATCCTACGCTTGCATGACCCCTGGGCGGCACATTCCTCCCCACTCCGTTATCTGTCTTCATTGAATTAGCTCCTAAAACGAAATATTAACGTGAAACAAAAAGGAAATTCAAAGCAACCTGTTTTTCACAAGCACCTCCAGATCTCCAAGATTTCCAACTTCTGAATGCACAATTTTACATGCCTCTCGGAAATTTGTGCTAAGAGAAGCAGCAACAATCTTCCGAAAAGTCAAACTCATCGTTTCGCCCCTTTATCTTTTATCTGGTTACTTCTTTTACTCTTCTTTCTTTCGGGTACTTTTAGATGTACCAGTCTCTGCCAGTAGAATATGCAGCAACAACATACTTCAATTCAATTCAGTTCTAGATGACCCTTTTACGACTCGACGTGAATGTGACAACGTAGCCAAGTGGACAATTTTGACATCCTTTTTACTATTCCAAAACTTTGTAATAAAATAATGTCTACTTATTGTTGGAATCTTCTCTGATGCCTTTTATATTTAATATCATTTTACACTTTGCAAAATTTCGAATCTTTTTCTCATATCAACACACCCAAGCCTTGTGACTTGACGCTGACTTCAGGTACACTCATTTTGCTATACAAGAGACTAAAATTTCATGAGCATTTGAAAACAATAGAAATGTTGACAATTTGCAGCGACAAAAATCCTTCAAAGAAATTTCTGTTGAGAAATTTCTTAGGTTGAAAAATATGAAAAAAGAAAGCCACTGTTAAAACTATAAACGTCAAATTTCAGGAACTCTTAAGAAACAACGAGTTTTGAAATTTCTACACCGTTAGAAACTGGAGTACTCAACTTCGACTTGGTTTCTTATAAAAAAATGAGGGTAACTTTGAGCGACAAAATATTTTTTTATCGAAGAATGCCTTATACTTTGTCAGCATGAGGTTCTGAGGACAGGAAGTTGATACTACCAACTGCAAGTTTCTCAAAAATGGAGTTTGCGTTTCTGTCCGGGCCTAATGTTTGCTCACATCTGTCTGCTTGTACCGCAGTAGTCTCAAATAAAATTGATTTGAATTTAGGACCCTGAGAATCTTTAAACTGGGATTGAGATTACCAGCCTAGACAGTCTCATCTCAAGATGACTTTAATGGATTAAAACGAAGAAAACATATCCTTAACTTAACCTTACATAGGAAAGCTAAAGAACAAAATAAAAAGATACATTCTGCTACGAGCTTTGTATGAATCAAAAGCAATTTTACTCACCAGCAACCATTGTAGTTTCTGGTAGAAATCTTACGTACATAAAGAATGAAATTTGGAATATAGAAGTTTTGTGCGTTAAAAAATAAACATTGTGCAGTGTATCTCGTTTACAATTAAATACATTACTACAGTGCATGTTGAAAATTAGATAAAACGATATTGCCAATATATACATAAAAATAGATGGGAGTCACATAAAATAATGTCTAGTGGTGTAATTAGTCCCAACATATCACGCGAAATAAGTGTAACCATGAAACAAAGACAGATTTTACTTCTAATTCAAAAACGTCGCACCTTTTCACAAGTTTTACCCTCATTTTCTAGGAACAATTCTCTTTGAATCTGAATGAATGGGAAATTGGATCTTGGCTAACAATGAGGGAATGTTTCCAAGCCATTGGGAGATGATAAAGTAGTACTGGATGTTAATAAACTAATTGATTCATGATTACGCTCTCCGATCAATGTGTAATCGTCTTTATATAATGATTCAGGATATAAAGTAATTTTCTGTTGGAGAATAGCATTCTCATTGAGTCTAAGGGGTGCTCAAAGGTTGCAGCTTCTTTCGACCTTCTTTTCGAGCTTGTTTCTCTATCCATGGTGGTACAGTCGCAACGAAAATAAGTCGTAACAAGAGCAAAGTGGTTTCGCTTAACAAGCTAAAATACCACCGTTAACCATTTCTTTACAGTTATCTCAAAGTTCATAGTTGGCGTGATAAGATTACTCATTCTAATACTTCTACTAACGAAGTTATAAAGTGCATTAGACACTTTACTTTTGCTAAGAATTATGCTACATTTCATTGCAAACTTTAAAACTTTTAGACATTCAAATCTTGGAGATCAATGCTGCAAATAAAAATAAATTTCTTTCTCCAAAGCTTTTGGAATCTTTGCCACTTTGTACAGGCTTGCAGTAATGATTGCAGACATTACCTTGGACTAACAATTCAGACTGCGATTATTGGAGTTAATGACATCTTTTCTTTCAAGCTTTCTTTGTCGCAGTCTGAAGGTTCTTCTTCCTCCACCTCTTCGTTCTTCTCTTCTCTTCCTTTACGGTATTTTTGCAATGATGGATTGTTGATCAGAGAATAGGCCAAATTCCATCGATTTCGAACGATTCTCCATCTATTCTCCGACTCCTTCTGCAGGTATTTTCCTTTTGCATCACCATTATTCGCTTCTTTTAATTCAATTTCGTCATTGGAAACATTCTCCATAAATCCTAGAAGCGTAAGGAGAATCCTTATGTATATGTAAAAATTATGTTACCTGAAACTAAAGAGAAATCTGAACTAAATATTCAGGTGAAAATTAGAAGAAGAAATGTAGTTTAATGAAAGCAAGTCATCTAATAAATGTATTGAAAGAACTTCATTGTTAAAATAAGACAAAGGAGCAAATTCGTAAAAACAAACTTTTGGCAATTTAAGGGGACAGATCCAAGCTGATAAATTGTGTTGCTAAGAAGACAACTCTGTGTCTGAACATATCTATTAAACACCCGCAGGAAGGACCTTGATTTATGAAGGGCCTTAGGCCTATAGTTAAATATTTTGTACCCAATAAACGAGAACTGTTTCAGCCTAATCCAAAATAGGCTCTTAATAACGAGTGAAACCCTATGGAAAATAAATACCACATATAAACATCATAAATAAATACCAATAAACCTTTTTGATATACTCCAAAAACATTGCGAAAGACTATAAGTGGTTTATGATAAAATGTGCAGGACAAGCATAGGATGGTTCTTGCCAAAAACAAAGAATTCTTCAACATATTTAGGCAAAAACTGGTTCTTGATTGGTCGGGATATGATAAAATCAAACTCCAGGGAAAAATAGATTATACCTTGAGGAAAATAAGGAAAAATAGAAAAAACACTGTATTGTTTACAATATTGTTGTAATATTTGATGCTAAACCTTCAGCCATCCCCTGCTGCTTGGAAATTGCCTTAGGTTCAAAATACGAGGCTAAATGACCTCAAAAACATGGTTTTTATGAGTGGGATTTTTAGTGTAGCAAACTCATAGATCCACAATCATAAGGCATGGTTAGAAAATTTTTTGAAACCCCAACGTATTGGCCCTACGATAGGTTGACTGTTATTATGGCTTCTATTTACAAGGTCTAGTGGCACTAATATGCCGTGGCGTAATTTGAGGGGATCAGAGGGGGCAAGAAAACCCCCTTGTGACGCTAAACTGCTATTTTGTCGGAAATCTTCTGGTCTTATCGGAAATATTATATGGTTGTCTATTCTTATCCAAGTATTAAATATAGAGAGGAAAGATTTTAAAGCTGAATAGAATGACTTCTTCCGTTGTTCTGATTCATATTTGCAATCTCTTTCAATAAGGCATGATACTTAAAAATGCCATATTTGTGGAGAAGAACAGATAAAATTATGAGACGTAAATTTGAATAAATGATAAGACTTTTTCTCTTGTTTTATTTCAGTTCTGATGTCGTTTTATTATTTTGAAATAGCAGATTTTTGTTGGAAAATCTTAATTTCTCGCCCCTCCTATAAAGTTTCCTATGGAGGCGCAACAAAGCAAAAGTACAGGTTGTGTCCAGCTTATAAAAGCCATCAATAAAAGTAAGAACTGCAGATTTTCACTGCATTAAAACAGATGGTACTCACTCAGTTGTGACGCAATGACAGCTTTGTGGCTCTGTTTAACATGGTCATTCAGCAAGGAAAAAAACACACAAAGGACTGGATTCGCATGTGAATGCTCAATCAGAATGTAACCAATATATGCAAAGTAACCTACAAAAAATCAGTTTGTTTACTTTTATGCATAGCTACCTTATTTCTTAAAGGAAGTCTGTCCCTTCAATGATTGGCTAATATGAACAATTGGTCTTCCCGCCTTAACCGATTACGCTGCTCGCTTTGGCTGGCCTAGCTGCGGTAGTGGAAGACATTTGAAACTGCGAGCAAAAACCTATCGGAAATGGCAATAAGATTTCTTTCTTAACATATTAAAATATTTCACAAGGATTACCTGAAACATTATTTAATCTTAATTTTTATTATTAACCTGATCTAGCTTTGCAATAGTAGTCTTTGCCAGAAAAATTTGCCACTGAAAATGATCCGCTGTATAAAGGGAGGATACTCTCAATAATTTACCAATAATTGAAACTATGACTGGTTTTTCGCCCGGCCTTCTTTTGTGTATGAAATATATAAGAAAAGTTAAAATGACCATCACACACGATTTGTGCATGTGAAAATTGTCTATAGGACACTCGACAAACGTCGTAATGTGGCGTTGTGCCAAGTTGCCATTCAGTGCTACCTTAGGCCTGAAATAACAACCCTATACAAAGCAAGTAAATGCCATTTAGCAGCTCTGAAGGAAAGGGAAAAGTGAGTGAGAGTACATCCTGAGGTGAGTGAAAAAAAGTTTTTTTTAAAAATGTCTCGTATTTTTTTCTTCTCTATATCAAATAATCAATTTCATGTAGTCATCTTCATTGCATTCACAATGAGAAATTTCTTACCGGGGTCCATTTTTTCAAATGCTCTTGGTAGAACACTTTTCTGAACACGTTCAATGAACAAAAGACCAACTACCATTCCTTTTATGAGTCGCAGTAAACAGGAAAACAGTCCAAGGAATATGTTGAAGTAGAACATGAAGAAGGACATAATGTGAAAAGCATTTCTACAATGAAAGAATGTGGCTTTTATTAATAGAGGCAAACACGAATGATAAACTTGTTTCCGTTTATTATCATCAGTTTGTCTGCTAAAAGACTTCTTGGACAACACCTTATACACCAAGGGAACGAGGTATGTATGTATGTCACTAGCCAGCCATACGCAAGTTTATGATTGCTACACTAGTTTCACTTCGAAATTACCTCATGTTTATTTAGTAACCGAAAAGGGGTAGCTTTTATGCAGAGCCAGAAGTAAAACAAGTTAAAACAATTAGTATATTTATTCATATAAATTGAGCAACTAATGAACGAAAGCTTAGCTAACCAACACCTGAATGAAATCATGCAATAATGCAATTAAAAATTTTGCCAGTAGCGAGATAAATTAATGCACGAGCCTGTTGTCAATAGAAATGATTTTTCCTCGTTGTTGAAGGAAGAAAAACATCGCTGCGAGGCGTTGCGAGAAAGCAACGACTAGTGATATAACAAGTGCTGGCCTACAAGAAAGGAACCAATATTATAATGAACCATTTTCACTGGAAAGTTCTGCGTGAAAAAAGAAACCTTATTAGCGTATATTGCAAATGACATATAGCAACATTGAGTAACATGGTTCCAATTTTCATGCAATCTAGAATACAATATGAGAACTGATCACCAAAGGATACGATACGTAAAATTTCCTCAATACACGAACAGAGAACATGAATGCACCAATACTATAGTCTGAATTTGGATTTCCAGGTCTACATTCTCCAGTTTTCGACTCCCCCCCCCCCCCCCCCCCCCCCCCCCCCCGCTACCTTCCGACACAGCCCAGCGTTGAATTGTAACGTTCTCCTGCCAACTCACCCACCATTAAAAGTTTGACACTAATCTTGAAAACTTTTAGACAGGGCCATTTGATTCTTTCAATAACAAATGAAATTGGAAACATCACGAAGGAAACATAAAAATTTCCTTATACTTAATGGCGTCACAATTCTGTAATAAAGTTTAATTTCATTCTAGCTTCACGCAGAACCTTACGCATCCTTATAAAAACTGAATTCAATTGGCAGTACCGTTTTGTATAGTTACAGTCAACGGTGTAGATGGAGGGGTCAGAGGGGGGGGGGGGGGTGAAAACCCCCCTGCAAAGCTAAACTGCAATTTTGTCGAAAAACTTCTGATCTTGAAGTTACATTTTGTGAAGAAGGACTTCAAAGCTGAATAAACATAAGAATATCTCACTCTGACTATATCAAAAGATTTTTCTTCTGATATCGTTATGTTATGTTCAAATTCATGAAAAGACATTAATGCTCATTAGATTTTTGTCGGAAAATCTATGTTTCTCTTCCCTATTATGAATTTCATATCCAAGCCATATTGGGAGCTCTTTGAACCAAATCGAGGCTGCCAATTTTGGCGCGAAAAAGACGTGAAGAAATTGATCACGTAAGCAGATATCAGTTTGTTGTGGAAAGGCGTGAGAAATGAAGCTTTTAGTATAAAGAAAAGCAAAAGGAACTCAGATCATGGTAATATTTTGACATGTACTAAGATATTTGGACTTTTTAGAGGAAAGTTGCAGGTAAAACTGACTTTTAATGCATTTCTTTAGAGTTTGAGGAGAATCGTCATAAAGAACTCAAATGTATAAATTCCATGATAAATTGTTTTTCTTTCGTAAACGGGCGTCTAATCTTTTATCTCCCTGTCAGTTTGAATTGATAACAATATGGGGAGAGGGGGTAAAAAATGCTATTACATACAGAAAAACGACAAAAATAAACGTGATTTTTTACATACCATGCCGATTGAAGGAGAGGAAACATTATGGAAGATTGTCCAGTAAACAGAGGATACAGTATGAACGACATGACAATGCCTAGGGCTAGCCACATCACAATTCCAAACAAGATAAAACCTAAAAAACGCGAGATAATAATTATTAAATGAACGATACGAGTTATCATATACTGTATACAGAGTATAATCACGGTTGTTCTTTTCTCATTAGATTGAACGCTGAAGTTTGGTTTTTGTGAATGAGGGCAACATGGCAGAGTCTATAGCATTTCCCAACTCCTACAGCTTGCAAAAGGTACGAAGAGATACTGAGATAATTTTGAATATCAAGTGTTAAATTAACAGTGGCGCGTAGCAGGCACATTTTCACCGGGGGGGGGGGAAGGGCACATAGAACCCCAGATAGGCCTAATCATGGCACACAGCGACTGGAAATATCAAATCATAAAAACAGATGCTTAACCAATTAAATACTACTCTAAATCTGATAATACATCATTATTATATACTGAATAAATGTAAAAAACAAAAGAATCATAAATAAAAACGAAAAAAATCCAAACTAAATTCAGACGCTTGGTTTTTGGTTGCAGGTTAAATACTTTGCTTGTGGTTGGTCAGAAATGGAAATTTGCTCTGTCAATGGCAGATCAATATGGATGAATGAGAAAACAAGTAAGTAATACAATATCTATAACGTTTACGTAATTTAATTAATTACCCCAGGCAGCATAGGCGACTTGGAATCCAGCATATTTCATACTTGCAGCCTGGAAGTCGATAAAACATAAATGAACTGCTAAAAATTTGAAAAGCTGCAAAACAAGCTGAAAATGTTTTATAAAGGTGATATTTTCTTGAAGAATGATACAAAAAAATAAAAACAAAAGGATGTCAAGAACAGGGATGTTAATCATTGCCTAAGTCTAATTAATACCATTTTTGTACAAACTTGCCATAAAAAAGATCGTTGAAAATTAAAGCGGAGCAAACATAAAAAATAGGAGCACCGACTAATTTAGGTAAATACAAATTGGAACAAGGACTTGGAAATTATAAACAGTGCCTTCAGTTTATTAAAATTTTCTGATAGCACAGCTAACGTGAATGGAAAATTATAGATCTCGAAACATCTGGAAGAAGTTAAAACTGGTGCAGATCACAACTTAACATTAAATTTGTGTTCTGTCGATCGACAGTTTCAACCACAACCCGGGAGTGGACAAAAGTGAAAAAACATTAACGGAAAACTCAAAATTACAGAAAAATCATTTGTCCATATAATCATTGTGTAAGGAATCCGTAAAAACAGATACCTTCCTCTAATGGATGGTTAATCTGGTCGCATTTATAAAGGTGTCACTGTATTTGTAACACAAGCTGCTACGGCTTGGTTACAGCAATAAAAGCCAAACTTGAGTAAAAACCCAACTTACAAGAAGACTGGAAGGTGAAGCATTCAGCGTTCTGATTGATGTAGGCAACCAAGAGCGATCGCCACGCCTCAACCTCATGATGTGCCCTCTGCAATGAGTAATTAATCATAATCATTTCTACTTATCAAAATAACCGTTTGCAGAGCCTTTTTAAAAGATTTATGCACAAACGAACTCTGACACTTTTGCATTAACCCATTATTAGTTTACTGGATACTAAAGAGTTTACTGGCCTTCCTTTTAAAGACAACTTCTTTACACTACATCAGCAAGAAAACATTTTGCTCAAGAATCCATGGCGTTTCAGAGCGGAAGGTAAATCAAAGTGAAAAATAGCATTTGTGGTATCTTCCTTCTAGTAAATATCTTTCAACTAGTAAGCCTCTGTCTTTGCAGTCTAAGAGCATGAGCATTGAAAATAATCACTACTACGCATGCCTACTGCGCAAGCCCTCTGACTGCAAATGGGGGATGAGTCGCTAGTCAAACTTTCAACTGTGGTCTCCCCAAAACAAGAATTTAGCAGTCAAAGAATCTGAATAAAAAATGATCGTTGTAAATTTGCTAAAACCTTATTCGTCGTTTCGAATAACTTCGTATACTTGCCGTTAGAACAATGGAAAAATCATGCATGAGAGAACACATAAAGGATGAAAAGAAAGCGCTGTTTACTGGTAAGAGGTAATAAGACAGCCAGCTCTAAGTGAAATTCAAAAGTAACCCATCTCATTTACTCTTCAGAGGGCAGAGAAATTAATTTGCCCTTTTTAACTCAAAGCTGTACAAAGTTTTCTTGGAAACTAAGGAATGCAAAAAGGATATCTTCTGTTTAACTAAACAACGGATCAAAAGAAACAATTACTAGCAACAACCATTAATAAAATATAAGATTTTTGCTGCAGCGGGAAAAATTTTGAAAGAGAGACTTATCTCTTGGATTTGAATTGTTTGAAATTAAAGTCATGGTTTTGTAAAAACACTTTAAACTAGGACAACGTTACCGATGTTATCGACATTGAAGATTTTGCAATTATCAGAAACTTCGAAATGACGGCGAAATAAACTCTTGAAACAGAGAATCAAAGATCGTTAAAGAAAAGCATTGCCGAAATGATCTTATTTGAGATCTGTAGATAAGGTTTTTCGCAATTTTGTTTAAATCATGTAAAAGATGAGACATAAGATAAGACATACCTGTACCATGCTAACATATTCAAGAAAAGTAAAGTTGTTTTGATCGCTGTCAAAATGATTGCCGCGTAGAAACAACCTGGAAAAAGGCATGGTACAGAAAGTAATGACGATGGCAATGTTAACAAAAATTCATTTCAAGAAGCTTAAGAAAGCAACAGAAAGCCCGATTGTTATCAAATCGGTAACAAGCTTAAGAACTTACAACAAGATGAAATGCAAAATGTATGTATAGGAAAACACTAGGAGATCTTAGGAGGATGAGTTACTATTTGGACATCTATTTTGTTTAAGGCAGTCTATTTAAATATATATACACTAAAGACTAGTCCAAAATACGGATCATTGGAAACAACCAAATTATTTTCTTTAACAAATAACGTATGTAAACAACGCTTTACGACGTATATAGGTATATTTAACGGTGCATTCAAATCAACCAATGTGCCTAGCGTCCACATGCATTCCAAGAATAGCCCATCGAATTCAAAGCTATTTGAAATGTTTGAATACGCTACTAATCCGACAAAATGCAGACGCGCGAATCCGGAAAATTTTCATCTGATGGGCGAGCTTAATAGCGCATGCTCTAGGGTAGTATCAACAGAGAAGCTATGATGAAAACAAAATCGAATCCAAAAGCATTTGATATGTGTGAGCTCGAATTTTTTTCCATAGTAAAAAAATCGGCATATAGGGAAAATCGTAAAAATTACAAAGAAAGACCCAATACATGAACATAAAGTTGTAATATTTCTAAAAATTAATCGAGGTCTTACCGATCCAAATCTTTATATGACTTCGAATTTTCCCAACAAAGCTTACATCGAGGTTCAAATACGCTTTGACAAAGGTTTCGAAATCTTTTGATTTTACAAGCCCATCAAGAAGAAAATCCAAATAAAACCACACAAGCCAAATCCAGAGGACAGTCAACTGCAAAATTAACAATTAAAATGACACACTGTGGTTTCTAAAATGGGCAGCTCTATATGGGAACACACAATAGTTATGACCAGAATGAGATCCAAATGGCTTAGACTAGGATATATATAAAAATTCGTCTGTAACATTTTGTGTGAGACAAATGCCTAGCCTGCCAGGGAAAATTGGGCTCCAAAAATGAGAGAAAAATCTAAGTATAGATTTAGGGTAAGTTTTCATTAGTTCTCATTGATTTTCCTGTGTTTTGTATTCATTAGAAGATACAAAATGGAACAAAAATGTTTTTATAAGGTTGTTGACAATGGAGGCTTACAGAACTACATCTCTTGTAAAAAGGTCATTGGTAATAGTTAAACAGCCATAAAAAATGAATGTTTTTGAAACGCTATGGCGTCATAGAATAAGAAAGGCATCAGTAACAGCAACCGCAACAGTAAGAAAGGGCTTTTGTTTAAGGTAAACAGATAGAAATGGCGAAAATACAAAACTGGGGTAGAGGATATGGTACCAGCTCAACATTTCACAGGCTGGTGAATGCGGGCTGAAAATACCTTCAAACTATGCATAACAAGCTCACAATAAACTTTCCACGTTTTCATGATAACTATCACAAGATACGAAAATATTAATCAAGGCTTTAAATATCTTTATAAAAATACCATCAACTAAACTTACAATGTAAACCGTTATTCCAGAAACCATGAAGGCAGACAACACTCTCGTGGAGTACCTGAACTCTGTAAAAAATTTGATCATATCAATTATGCTTAACTACTACCGATTTCATTGCAAAAAATCAGATGACTCACACTACAAAACTTATAACCTTAAACAGAAGCCCAGCAAATCAATTACATCTTATCTCGAATTTCATGGCAATTTTAGATTCTGTATGCTTACATTTGCATCTCGAATAGCTCAAGCAAGCTCATGGACATGGCAAAAATACTGAACGTAAAGCCCTGGGTCTTCATATGCTTCTTAGCTTCAATATTGGGTTCTAGTATATACAATTAATGATTATTGGCGAGAGCTATACACTTTTGTATGGAAATATTTGAGAAACATGATGCGGACTACCTCACCTGGTTTCCATTGATAAATTTTCTTTCGGAGCTTTGATTTCAGAGTTTCTACTTCTGCAACTTTACCAGAGCTAAAAAATAAATGGGGCTAAAAAATATAAATCCTTTATTAGTTTTTATACAAACAAATTAGAGGAATGCTAAATACGGAATTTGTACTGGAATATGAACATAAAACTTAGTTATAAATTCTGATTGTGAATAAGATTAGAGAAAAAATTTTACCGCCAAGGTGAATCTTTCAAACGGCTAGCTTTATCTAAGACAAATGGCCTAGGCAACAACATAAAATCAATATAAGAAGCAAATAGTTTAATCTGGAGAAAGTAACAGGAAAATCTATTTCCCTGCTCTCAAATACATTTGTGAGTAAAGATTTGAAAACGCACAAATGAAAAACTTTTTTTAAAAACCAGGAATTAAAAAGTATTCCAATATGGAAGTTCGATCCATTCTAGTATGGCGAGACTGCTAACATTGACACTGACTTTGATGTCATCGTGCAGTACTGGAATTGTCGTGCAGAGTACGAATCATATCCATATACTTTATTGGTATTATCGATAAACAATCGATAAAGGCTTTCGACCGTGTCTGAGGGACTAGTTCAATGCAACTCATATAGAGGATGAGATAAAACAATAAGGTACCTTTCAACACGTTTCAGCAAATTTAACACATGATGGTACATGTAATTCTCCCTGAAATCATCATGAATATCCTCAGCTGCTGCATCCCATCTCTACAAAGATTGTTATATCATGCATTAGGCATCATAAACACCATTGTCCGTAATATGCCAATCAACATCTTCAATTGCTGCTTTTACTTTAATAGGGCCGTTGCTGTAGTGTTATATAAGAGAATCAATCACCTCTTTGGCAAAAAAGGGCAATAAAAAGGCTTTGTAATGGCGTCACAAATATTATTTTTAGAACGCTTGAATTTTGAATCTGGAAGAACACCAGAAAAAAACTGGAAAAAGAGCTGGATGTTTATTTTTGTACCGATGACTGGGATTCAAGAAAAAGATGTGTCAGTGACATAAATCTAGTTATTTTGTATCAATACAATCGAACCAAAAAAAATTCCTTCATTTTAGTTATATGAACTGCTAATCTTTTTTCCGAAAATATTCCATCTGTCCCAAGCTCTGCCTTCAAATGTACAGAATGAGCTAAACCAGTTACGAATTTGCCAAAACAAAAAACACACTAACACAGGCTCCGTTTCCGTATAGAATAACTGAAATTTGGCCTTAGTTTTAGAATTTATGAATCAGACACTCAACTACCTCACTTCTCCCATTTAAAAGTATGTTATGGTGTTTTTTTCAGATAATTTTTGTCATAATTAAATGTCATATTTTCCGTTTTTGGTGTAATTTATACATAACTTAGATAATTTCATGTCTTACATCGAGAGCTCTAAGCAAAGAGTAAGTATGAATGACAAAATATGGTTTTCTCACGTTTAATTGCTGTTTCATACGCAAAATCTTATGACTGAACACAACAGTAACTTGATAATTCTAGCACAAAGTTGTGAACAATCCAGCAGCTACGAATACATGCTAGAAAACATACCCCGATTCTTTTGCGGATGGCTTTGATCAACATAATAGTGAACTTCACTAACAGCAGAACAAGGCAAACAAACTGTGGTAGGGATGTAAGAACTTCCATTGCAATTGTTCTCTGCAAAAAAATAATACAGACATTTTAAGCTGGCAAAGAGTATTTAACTTAATGCCATTTTTTAAAGTAGATAAATAGAATGCAGTGTCGTAGGATTGGGCTTTGTCGAAAATGAAACCTAAAACAATACTTGGTAGAAATGACAAATTAAAAAAGGAAAGAAACATCAACTTGATTGCCCATTAGCTGTAAAGGGCCTTTCTTTATTCAAGCACCCCTCTCAAAGATACTACGCAAAAACTCAATATAGAGCTCTATAGAAACGAATACAAGAATTTATAATAGTTTTCATAGGGGCATGAAAAATGCATCTTCCTTTTAGTGTGATGTCTTTGCAAATTGTAAATGTTCAGCACAACGCCCCAGAAACATTCACTTCAATGAGGATTTGAGAGCACAAACTGTCTGTTAACAAAATATGAATACGTCTACATATGTTGTGGATGATCATCGATTTGATTTGTAGAATTTCATTTCGTAATGCCCGAATATCATATTTATCATAATATCATAATTTCATTTGATAAGATCAAAATATTCTTATTGCTTCTATTCACAAATGTAGTTCTCAATAACAATCATTGATGGTGGCAGTTGTGACTATCAATAAACGGGAATAATCGGGGGAGGGTACGATGGCTCTTTCTGCGCTTTTTGCAAAACCATTCTAGGACAATTGTTACATAGAACAGTGTCAGAGGGTACATCCGCACCCCCTGGTTACGCCATTGATTCGTATCTCGAAACCAGCAAGCGAAAATGCTATTCAGCATGAATAGATAAGGTCTGCATAATACGCTCGTTTGAAATTGTCTAAAACTTTTAGGTTTCGGTGGTTCGGTGGTAACAGTGCCATATAATACTCTTTTGATCCACCTTTCTTGAACATTAAAGTTTGAGTAATGTGGTGCAATTACAATGAATATCAAATGTAAGGTAAACTTTTTTTACAAAAGACTGTAATGCCAAATTGTGTCAAAAACATTCACAAATATAAATTCAAAAACTGACAGTGAAAATCTGGTTGCAGTTGCTTATAGAGCGGTAAACTCTCTCTAGAATACACTACTGATCTACATTCAACTTCACTTGTGAAAAAGTTTACTAAAGGTATTAGTGTTCATATTTTTTGTCTTGTTCTTGATAATGATTGACCACTTAAGAAAATAGTAAGTTATATTGATACACGACTGATTATAAATCTAGGCATTCAACATTCCACTATGGGCTCCGACGAAAATTGGAAAGTAGGGGGGGGGGGGCAAGGGTACATTAAAGACTCATCACAAAACAATTTACGAGAATTCGCAAAAAAGCTCTATAGTTTTGCAAAAAAGTGGGATGGTCTTGGCCCCCCGACATTTGAGGCCTTGCTTTCCACATTCATTCTGGCGCCTCAAACCTTTTAAATATGTTACGGGTTTCTCATGATTGAATGTTGTTTTCATAGAATAAAGAACCCGAAATCACACGTATTTGGAAATGGCCAGTCTTACCGCAGAACCAGAACCAAGGTGTTGCTCTAAAAAGCAGGCCCGCGAGTAGACAATTACTTTATAAAGCAGCAGTCCAATCCTTAATGAAAGAGAATAAAGCAGATTAAAAATGTTATAAACCGAGCAGCCAAGGAAGTATATGGGACACAAGCAATATATTGAGACATAGGGTAACTAAGAAATGACTGAAACGTTTAGACACCTGGCTAAGAAAACGATTTTGCTTCAAAATACATCTATTGATATGCTGGGAAAACTTGAAATTTTGGCTGGGAAAACAACTGAACCAAGTCCCAACTGGCATGATATTAAGCTATGTTTCTAGTCAAAAAGTTCAGAGACACCCAGCAATTTATGTTGTGCTTTTCTATTTCTAATTCATTTTCCTGAATACAAATACTTCACCCCCTTCCCCCCAGAATAATGATAATAGTCTAGACAAATATCATACAAGTCAGCCAGGGGGGAAAACGTACCCCACAATTTCCTTCATTTTTTAGTAAACCAATATTCTTCCTAGGGGGAGTGATGGATGGCTGAATTTTTACTTGAAACCTGTTGTTAGTGTTTTAACACTTTTGGCAGATATTTTGTATTAGTTAATTTAGTTACTTACCAAACAAGTGCATAGAAAATTCCAAATGCTGAACCAACTGTTTTATGATTTGTTCGCATGCAGACAAATAATGGGTATGCAGACATTGCTATAACTACAGTAGCCATGATCTTGAAAAGAACTGCAAAGAATATACACTGGTTACATGAAAAAATGGCATGCTCCGACAGGACATGAATGGGGAATTAAAGCGTCCCTTGGTCCACTAGCTTACAGGTCCAGCCCGACCTGACTGGTACAACCTGGCAGGGTTCCCTAGCTCAGGGCTATGAGCAATGACCAACAGCTAACTCGGCAGGATGAGCGGATGAGCTACGACTCCAGGAGTCAACGGCTTTGGGCGGAAGAACTCCTGGAAAGAGGGATGGTGTCCCTTTAAAAACACTGTAGAGGTGGTTCTGGGGGCCCATCTCTACTATTAGCCCCTTAGTTTTATCTATGACCATGACAACAAACCAAAACTCAGATTTTGGGATAGTTGGAGGGTCATGATAGCCAACCTTCTGATAGAAGATGGTACCTGATGATAACATGAAAAAAACAGTAAAATTAATGGTCAACCATTATCATGAGATAAACAAAGTGCATCTGCTTTTTAGTGAACTGCCTTTGACAAATAAACTAACTGCATAGGTGCAGGCCTAAGATGGGGTTAGGGTTGGGGGAGGGGGCTGGTGAGGCTGCTTTTTGCTAAATCTTAATATAAGGTTGTGGCATCAAACATAATGATGAGGAACTATCATAACAGCACCCCCCCCCCCATTCCATGTGCTCCAGCATGCCTGACTTCATTAGTTGTCTGTTCAACCATAGGTAGATACTAAAACTTCTGGGGTTGAAGATCATACAAGAGAAATGGTTTATCAGCTTTTTGCTCACACTATGAAACATACAAACAAAACTGTTTTAAATGAAGCGTAAAAGATTTTAACAACTCACCTCCAACATAACCTGGAGCAGCAGCAACTACTGGAGCCCAATTAGAGCCAAGAATAGAATCCACATTATCAAATAAGACCGAAAGGCAATATGAGGTTGTTGCACCAAATACTAAAGCATTGCCAAATCGATTTTCATAGCTATCCAACATGTTCAGAGGCCTTAAGAAAAAAACATACCCAATACAAACATAATATTTCAACTAAAGCAGCTTTAAAAGGGACTGCTGTATATCAAATGTTTAGGAGGTATTTCCAAAACGTAAAAATCTTTGCCACTGTGCTTTGGAAACTTTTAAATCTGAACCTTCACTAAACACTAGATTCAATTCCAAGAGCAGATAATACTTAAATACAATGTCCATTGAAAACATAAATTATAATAGACACTTCAGACAATGATTGTTTTAAAATTATTTTACTGTAATAAATGTCTATTAACTTACCCTAATTCAAGTTTTTGATTGAAATTCTTAATAAATAACAATTGCATTAAACTCCTCATTTGCATGATATTCAACACTACAGTTTTGTAATAAGCTATCAAATATATGCAATCACGGGTGTCTTACAGAGAAAGAGGGTGCAAAAATGTTTTACAGTGGATAAAGTGGCAGGGTTGAGGTGCACATAAATCTATCCGACAAGCCTCTTGAAGTGAGCTGGAGTCTGGTACCAAGTGTGATCAGCACCACAAATAACAAAGGAGCCAATAAGATAAACCAGTAAATCTCCTGTTTAAAACATAGATTTTCAACTTTGCTGTACAAAGAATAAGAAGAAAGTAAGAAAGGAATTTAGACTCCAATTTTCTTATAAAAATAAGTGAGTGAATACTTACACAACAGCACCAGGTCGACCATAACAACATTTTGTTTTATACTTTCTCTTTTCCACAAATGACATCACAAAAACAAATACAACCTGAATAAATGTAAAGACAACTCAAATATCTAAAATAGCATGCTATAAATTCAATATCAAAATTAAATGTCAAATAAACAAAAAGCAATGAAATGAAACAAGGTTTTTTAGAGAAAAAGCTTTCAGATACCGTAAAAGCTCTGTTAAGCCTCCTCTCTTGTAAGCCACCTTCTCTATGGCCCCCTTACCAAGCAAAAAATTCAAATAAGCCACCTCCTCTCGATTAGGCCACATCGCATCTTTAGCCCCTGATGTCAAGCAAAGAAATATGCGGTCTTTTGACACATGTGATGATGATAAAATCATACGCATTAAAAACAGCCCATGTTGAATCTTTCAAAGGGTCGTTTTGTTTAGAAGATGTCTCAGGGTTATGAGTTTATCCTGGTTTTTCTGATGAAGATGAGGAAATTATAATTGATTAATTTCAAAAAACTTTAAAACTGCTAGCAAAGTTTTTGAGAACATTTGTATGACATTTTCATAACAAACAAATACATAAGGGCATTTTTATAACGTTTTTTATAATGAATTATTAATAAGCCACCATCTCTAATAAGCCACCCTCTCTTTGAAGCCCTCCCTCTAGGACTGATATAATAAATAAGATCCTTGCCTCCCCTGGCTCAATAGAGCTTTTACGGTACATAAAAGCCATGTTAACAATTAGTGGTACATGTAGATGCATCATAGTAACAACTTTAATCAGGATAAAAAACATTCTTTGGTTAAATAATGACCAAAAGATTGGCCTGCAAATTTTATGGATCCATTTAGCAAAAGCAAGCTCACTGATGTACGTATAATCAAATTGTTATAATAGTTAATACTTGTTGAAATTAACTAAGATCAAGCAAGTCCTTCCAATACCAAAGGGAAAATGTCTATCTGAGGCATAACTAAGGACAAATTAAATGCTTGAAGGCACTATGTGACACCACATTTTCATTGCTATGTAAATTTTCCATTTGACTTAACAGAGACTGTTGGGACACAGGTGCCTTTAAGATAATTGGCTTTGATATCACTAAAAAGAAGATGACACTGATAATAGCAGTTTATATAACCAATTTGAGCAGGTAATTGAAAACTATATATGTGACAAATTACCGATATAAGGAACAGAACAACCAGTAGCAATGCATTTAAGTCCTTTTCCAAAGCGACACAAGGATCTTTAGCTGCTGTGGTGGGCGCAGTAGTTGGTGGAACAAAGCTACAAAGAAAATGCAGACATTTTTTGCCTAAAATTGCTAAAATCCACAGAGTCCTTAAATCCATAAAACTACCTGAAATATAAAATTAACAAAATTTTATTCTCACAACATATCCAGAGAGCTTTGCTATTGTTCAATGTGGTTTGCTGTGTTTTCCAAAAAGTTCACTCGTTTCAAAGAGTGATGGCAAATGACGGTTTTTAATGATTTTTGATATTGTTTTTGTTTTTTGTTGGTATTTCATGGGATTAAGATAAAATAGAAAGAAACCTCTGCTGAATTTTATTTTTTTGGGTGAAATTCGTGATTTTTGCTAAAGATGCTAAAAAGATCCTGTTTTGCTTCTTTTGCCTAAATCAATTGAAAAAAATTGTGTGCTTTTCTCCATTTTTGAAACTTCATTATATTATTACAATAATGTCCGTACAGCATCTTCAACAATCGGAAACCTTATTTTACATTTTTGTTGGTACATTGCCAGGAATGTTGTCAAATGCTGATAAGCATCATTTAACTGTTTACAAGTATTGCACACAGACATAAATAACGTTTGATAAGCATGCAACCTATATTCTAACCTTTGTATTTCCTACTCCCATTTTTAGTTCTGTTCAGTGATAAATCACAAGCTTAAAGATATATGAATACCCCCTGATATTTCTGCAATGATAACAGTAAAACTGCCCTGCAAGTAGAGCAGGAAGGAGTGCCATTTTTAAAGGGGTGTGATGACACATATTTCAACAAAACTCTATCACACTTCATGTGACTCTGTGGTCAGCAAAGAAAGCAAGATATGATTTATAATGTGCTTATATCATTGCTCATTATTTTTCAGAGAAATTGGAAAAATTAAAAGGCTACAAAGCAAATCAAGAATCATCAGATCTTTGCACTTAAGACCCTGACAGACAGAGGACTAGAGCATGACCAAAGCTTTGGGTGAAAAAAAGGTTAAGATTTTAACAGGGAGAAGGAGAAAGTAAGTTTTTCACTGCTATTGTTGATCTGTTACAAAATATAATTCTTGATCTGTTACATTCTCAATATATTTAATTTACATTATTTTCATCTTCGAAACTTCCTTGAGAAGTATTGTTTGACATGCCAGGATAAGATACAAAAGAGTGGATGTTCATCAATATTTACTCAAGGTAAAACAAGGGTCTTTTAAAGCCTATAAATATGATAATCTCTGGCAGCAATAAGTTACCAAAAACAGATAATTCTTATCTACAAACAAATTTCTTTTTATGATATACAATGTGATACAGTGCCGTCGGAACGAAATTCATATTGGGGGGGGGGGCTGCCAATTGTTTTCCTTCTCATTCAGTACACTGTTATAAAGGAAACATACTACAGTTTGACAATTATTGGGGGGCTCCAGCCCCCCGGCCCCCCAACCCCCCGGTTTCGATGGGCCTACGATATCAATGGCCAACTAATATTATTGTTTTTGAAACTAACATTATGGCAAGTGCATCATGTACATGTTTATATAAGAGTACAAGCCAAGCTAAAATACTTTATAAATGAACAACCCTTGTGATTTCATTGGCTGACAAGATATTTCATGTTAGACTTGAATCCACATAGATACATATCCTGTTACAAGAGGGGAGAACACAATGCTGGTTGCTAAGATAATGCCTATCATAAATTGATAAATTGTCTCAGTGTGCTAAATCACTTGAAAAATTATTCCTTTGTGTCAAGCAGAAGAAATCTAAATCTGAAAGGATTAGCTTGCAAAAAAGAACAAATAAAAGCCAGGCTGTTATTTACACATCAATGATATTGGATGATTCATGCTTTTGTACCACCTAAGAACGTTTAAAAATATCAAAAGAGAGGACACAAATAAAACCTTTGTTATCTTCATAGGCTGTTATAATCAATATACGGGTACCTGCCTGACAATAACAAATATTGAGATTGGCAAAGCAAATGCTCACTAAAACCTGTTGCATCCCTAATTTAAGTATCCAGGTATAATTGCATGTAGTTTCTTGATATATTAGAAGATCCAGAGCCAGTGGCAGCGTCAAGGGGTGGTATGGGGGTAATAACCCCCCCCCCCCCTTTTCTGAAAATATGGTCCACTAAAGCGAGGCAAAGGGGGCGTGGTCCCACTGGCCACGCCCATTACCCTCCCATTCTATAATAACTGGCGCCGCCACTGTAACAAAAGGAAGGGTTACCTTTTTGCTGAGTACAGCAGTGCTTTAAGACAGTGCAAGGCCACTAAATATGATGAACAAAAATCTTAAACTTTTAACCAAGTTGGTTAAAACAACAAAAGCATAACATTAAAAGTAATGAAAATGAAAGACAAGAGAACAACAGCACAATAAAAGAGTCCTGATCAGAATCAAGACATTTCTGACTACACAGCTTATTTTACCAAAAGAGGTGCATCAAAAAGATGAGACATCAAAAAGGGTTTTATATCACTTGAACCCATGTTAGGGTAGGGGGTGTGGTGCGTCACAAAGATCCAGGCAATCAAAACAGCTGGGACTTTTATCAAATTTGACGCTTTTTAATTCATGGCAATTTCACTACGGCTACTATAAAAATAAATAACAACAGAGAAGCATAACATTATTGCATGCTGTTTAGACTCAATTGTTTGATATTAAGCCGCAAAGGAAAACAATAAAAGTAAAACACGGACAATGTGTAATTTAATTAGAAATACATTAACTGTAAAGTAAACATCTTGATATTACCTACCAATTTATGACTTGCGCTTCCTTCTTCGTTCCCAATGTTGAATTGACACACAAGTAAACTTCAATGATAGTCTTGTTAACAACATCTAAAGTCAGTCCTGTTGAATTCGCAATCGTGCGAAGATCATTGACGGATGTTAGAACTACTCCCAAAGAATTGACTAATTCTGATACACTCATTGTATCATTGATGCGTCCCAATTGAGTTAAGGCTGTAGAAACAGCTCCCAAAACTTTCCCTGCCACCTCCATGTTTTCTTCTTTGCCCAAGCAGTTCTGATTTCACAACATTGGCCGAACTTCTGAGTAAGCAGAATTTTTGAAAGCACTAGGGAGAGGAAGGTTCGTTTCCTGCGCAGTGGACAAAAATTTCGCTGTTTGGTTTGCAGCAACAACGCAAAAGATACAACTTGCGTTGCCATGACGAAGGGGATGGGGTTCACGCTTTTTTTATAAGGAACTGGTCCAGACCCCAGAGTCATATCGGTCCAATCCAGACCAATATGACTCCCAGACCAGTATGACTCTGGTTGGACCAGTATGACCTCTGAAACGGCCAGCCTCGCTTGCAATCTTTTTTAGAAAAAATATAAAGCGAAAAATCCTTGCCCGTCTCTGCGAAATTAAGGAATATTTGCACTTAATCTTGAACATTTTGGTTTATCAACTATATTTGGATTGCTCCTTGAGTTCTGGCGTTGTTCCTGTCTATACTAGACGATGTCAGAGTTCACAATGCCAAAACATAAGTGGGGCAAAAGCTGCTTAAATTGCAACGCTAGCCTAAAACATTGAAATTTGTAAAATTTTTCTGCAGCTCAAACAAGGTTCATTGTTTATCAACAAAATTAAGATTTTAACTGTCTATAAATCTTTCTCTGTTCTAAAGATGTTTCTGGACCGAAATAATGGGAAAACAGCCTTTATCTAGTATCTAACCCTTGATTTATATTAAACTATCTTTATGAAATTCCGCACATTGCCCGCAAAAACACATTGCGTTTGATTTGTGCATTTGATCAAAGGCTGTCTTTAAGTTCGGTCTTCCTGCAGAATGCCTTTGGATGTTGATCAGACAAAGTTTTTAGTTACACTTCTTAGTATTATCGAATTTTAGCAAGTGTTCTTCCAAAGATAGCAAAGACATTTTTCGTCGCGACATTTTGAAGCTTATTTTTGATCACGATGCCAAGATCCACTGGAATTTAGCATGGAGAGTTTGTCAAGAAAATCGTTAACCCCATAAATCTGTTGCCGAAGAGCAACACTTTTGAATTTTTTGCCACTTGCGTTTTTTACAAATCATTACCCCCCAGAAACCGTTAAGAACGCTTCCTACTTCCTTGTTTGCGATCACCGTCGAACTTGGCCTTGAAATCTTCATGTTCAATTTTAGTAAGAATCCGTAAAGACATTTTAGATTTTGTAGAAATTCGGTCGCTTGCGCTAAATAGGAAAATATCATTGTTGTATAAAATGAAGAGAAACGTCTTAAGCCAGGAGCCTTTGTAAAACCACTGAGTTTACGAGGGTTTTACAGGCTTGTGTTCGCAGATTCGGCAGTAAAAGAAAGTACAAAATTCAATAAGCGTGTTCTGATTTCTTGGCTCGACGGTTCTTATAGTTTCATCTAATTCAACAACGACTTAACGGGTCACTTCGGCAAAACTGGTATGCTTCAAACTTCTTGAAATAACAACGGCTATCCGAACATCTGAAATCACGTCTAAACCTTAGCGACTAAATTAAACGACTGAATTACTCACAAAAGCCAACAAATATTTTACTCAACAGCAATTAAGATAATTAGGACAGTTATACAAAACAGAACAAAGGAGCTGATCACAAGACAGGCTGTTACATGGAAATTGGCCAAGGTGCTAACAAAAGTCAAGCACGCAAATGAAATTCAAACAGCAAACAAGCAAAAGTTTCCTTAACGAAATTCTGTCCTTTTACATAACTCTCCCCTTCAAGGACAAGCGTCCTCGCTTGCTTCAAGTGACTCCATTCCAAAATTGTTTGGTACCGCTTGGCGTGCTATGTTTCCTGACAATCTTGTTTGCTTCCCCTGCTCTTTGGTAATAGCTGCCTCCCCTATTTGCATCTCCTTTATAAATCGACTGTTCTGGCATGACACAATCTTCCTGTTCATTGGGTGCGATTTCATTATTTTCAAATTCAAACTTTTTTTGTCCCCTATCTTGTCTCGCAACATTTTCCCTTTTTCTGTGCATTATCTCTTCTACTTGACGTAAAATACATTTCAAGTTTTCAATTAGTTTGCAGATGTGCTGGAATTCTTCCTCAAATTGTGCGTCGTTATATCGGCTAAATTTTGTAGAAAACCAACGAGGAAATCCATTCGTGCGATAAGCTTTTGGTGGATGAATAAACGGGCGACTGCGACAGTACTTGACAACATGTCCAACCATTTTACAGTAGTTGCAGACAGGACGACCGTCTGTTGCACGCAAATATAGCAAGTCATTTCTACGATTAAAATTCGACATATTTCTTCTAAAATACCAGCTTTCTTTTTTACCAATTTCTCCCGTCACGTCGTGGTCACCAATGTAAAATCACTGAGTTTACGAGGGTTTTACAGGCTTGTGTTCGCAGATTCGGCAGTAAAAGAAAGTACAAAATTCAATAAGCGTGTTCTGATTTCTTGGCTCGACGGTTCTTATAGTTTCATCTAATTCAACAACGACTTAACGGGTCACTTCGGCAAAACTGGTATGCTTCAAACTTCTTGAAATAACAACGGCTATCCGAACATCTGAAATCACGTCTAAACCTTAGCGACTAAATTAAACGACTGAATTACTCACAAAAGCCAACAAATATTTTACTCAACAGCAATTAAGATAATTAGGACAGTTATACAAAACAGAACAAAGGAGCTGATCACAAGACAGGCTGTTACATGGAAATTGGCCAAGGTGCTAACAAAAGTCAAGCACGCAAATGAAATTCAAACAGCAAACAAGCAAAAGTTTCCTTAACGAAATTCTGTCCTTTTACAGTAGCGCAATGGCTCATTGGTAGCAATGAGTCTTCAAGACTGTGTAGAACGCCAAAGAGTACAAGTTTACATTCAGTTTTTGAATAGCCGCAAAAAAATGAAAGGAATCACCACTGCAAATCGGAAAAAAAACAGAAACAGAGAAACATAAAGCAATTTCTTTGTTATGTTCCCTCGAACCATTTAGAAAGATGGCCACGAGTGTTTGAAACTTTTGCTACATTGGTTCCTTAATTTAGGTCCACGAATTATACAAGACTTCTGCTTTTGATGTAATATTGCCAATCGATGATTGGAAGTTTGCTAACGGATTACAAATATCTTGGTTTAATGTTTTAGTAGGTAAAGTGCCTGCGTTCATATTGCCATATTGCAGCCAACATATAACTAATTTAACCGATTTCACATATTTAGAGATATTTCATGATACTCTTTCAGGTTATGTTATTCAAATTAAAAAAATTCTCAAAAAAATTAATTTTTGTGACGTCATCACTAAAACATATTTTTGTGACGTCATCACTAAAACATATTTTGTGACGTCATCAGTTAAGAATTCTTTAACTTATACTTTTCGCAGTTGATAGTTGTGACACATTGAAGACCATCGTATCCCTTATGTGGAGTATCGTCATATTTGCTGTGATCTCTGCCCTTGTCAGCTTGGCAGCCTCGATTCTAGGATGCATTGCCACGTGCTGTTCTGGGGTAAGACGACAACTTAATCTCGTTTTCAACAACATAGCCTTTGTTAAGCTCTTTTTTCTAACATATTGATTCCATTCATTCAAATGTTCACATGCTCATATCAAAGGCGACTTGAATATAGCAATCTGTTTGCACTGCGTTACAACAATGATAGCAAAGCTTTTGGAGCCTGGGTGCCAATCACGCTCCTGTGCAGTGTCCTTTTGGTTGCTTATTATAGTCTTAAGCGGAAAACCCGCTCTGGAAAACGATCCACGGATTGGATCAGATCGTGTTGTTCTGATCAGTTCCGTTCGATCCGCGGATCGTTTCAGATTGGAATTCATGACGCAAGTGCTCTATTGTTTAATAAGTTTTAATTCGATTTTGATCAAAAGAAAACTACTGTACCGGAACAGATCAAACAAGTTGGAATGATTTCAATTTTTTGTCGAACCGTTTCGGTCAGTCGCGGATCTGTCATGTGACCATTTTTGCATCCATAGCGCGTGCGCAACACAAAATCTGATCCGATCCGTTTCGATCCAAGTAGGTTTTCGGCTTGTTGTCACTTTGCGATGTCTTATTTGCTATTTTGTATTAGGTGTTGCATTAAAGTTTAAAGTCTCTGGCCCAACCAGCATGCTTTGCGGTAGCTGTCTTTTTACACGAGAAAAAATTGATTGTACTTTGGATTTTCATGCAGTACGATGTTAGGCTGGTTTGATAATATAATCACAAAGCATGCCGGTTGTAAAAAAAGCCTTTAACTGGAAAAAGTACCAAAAATACGCTGTGGAGGAGGGTAGCCCGCTTATATCAAATATTATGGATCATAAATTTTTGTTTACCCGTAACTAAACGTTTGCCGTCGCGGTAATTATGGTTTTTGCTTTACAGTCTCAGCCAAGCACAGTCATTGTACAACAGCCTGTTATGATGCAACAACAGCCAGTCATTATACAAAATACTCAAGACCTACCACCATCATATGGACAGAAGTATTAAACGCAGCGGAGGCGCGTTGTACAGCTTTCAACTAATGTAATCTCACTAAGTCTTAATTAGCATACACGGTGATAAAGAAGCTTAAAAAACATACACCAATAGGTTTAACGAACTAACTTCAAAGACACTGGATCTGAAGATTCTGAGACCCTATGATGATTTCTACTGTTGCTAGGGTAGCAGTCGGTCCTCCTAACTATAATTGCCCCCTTCTCTAACTCTAATCGCCCTCGCAGATTTCCGGAACCAAACAAGCAACCTATTGAAACTCATGCATACCAAACTTTACATAAGACTTGCACTTTTATTTTGAACTTTTTCTTACAAATAAAGGCTTTGCAACTAGAGGAAACCACATTAACAGTATCCAAACCTTTTATTTTTAAACAGTGGTGACCGGTGTGAGCTGGCCTCGAAATAATCTGTTCTGTAACGAGGCAGTTTACATTATTTCCAGGAAATCTACATTCTAACCTGGCAATCCCATAAACCATTGTTATGCTTATTTTATTGTTTATACATACCATTTGTATGATACTGTAATTCTTAACACTTGTTGTTTATTTAATCATGGTTTATTTTATTTGTTATCTTATAAACTACGGTGATTGTATTTTCATTTGGTTTCTTCTTCATTATCTCGTTTTATTCATCTCTTCACGCACATAAGTGTCAAGGAGGAACAAGGCCAACAACTTTTTCAGAGGGGTACAGAAGTGTCTCTCTTTTTAAGGGTGTGGTCATGGAAGCTTTTCATTTTGAATTCCAGTTAAACTACAATTACAAATATCACTATTACAAGGTAATTTGTAACTGGCTAGCCTGTTTTTACAAAATAAGACTATTACAATCGTAGTAAATAGAAAAGAAAAAAAAACGTTAAAAGGGGAGTAGCTCTGGGTTAGTTCATGTTTTGTTCCTACAGCAGAACATGTAATAGGTGGTACGAATGGATATCGTAGAAAGCATAGAAATGAGATATCGTTTGTGTTGATCATCGATGGAAAGAGAGTCACCACCTCCACCGCGCCACCTCCACCCCCCCCCCACCACTCCTTTGGCGACGCCCCTGGTATCATGGTATTTCCATTGCTGCAGAATTACAGAAAGAAGAAAATCTTCTTAAGTCAGATCAAATGCTTATCATACTTTGTAGAAAACTTATTTCTGGATTATTCTTAATATGAAACGAGTACTGGTCACCCAGCAAAAATTATGTTAAAATTGACTTTTCGCAACTTCGCTTCTCCGAAATTTCGCAATACTTCGATATGATTGGTTGATTCGCATAAAACTTGAGATAACAGAATAAAATCAAGTTATCCTCATCAAAGTACAGCATTAAGTTAAAGTGAATGCATTGACAAAAGTGCCAAAGAGGAATTTGGAAATAGGAGAAACATCGAAGAGTGGACGCGAAAACTCTACCCAACAAGTTTCTGTTCGAAACTTATTGGACGGAAAAATAATAAATGTTCCCCAATAAATTGATGACGCCATTATATATTAAAACTTATAAGAAATGTTAAAGTTTCAAAAGTTGAGTGGCACATTCCCCTTGTTGTGGGGCATCCTTCCAGTTTGATAGCTTCCGGTGCATGCGTCTATGAACGAAACTTCTTAGACAAGACGAGAAACAGGCGAGTTTTAAAAAGAAACAGGTGATATCAATTGCCATTAAATATGACTTCAAGGATATGAAATAATACAACTTGTCATAAACTGTGAAAACTTTAGCATAAGCCCGATTTCTCGAACCTCCATGGGAAGGATATAAAAACTTGAGGTAACGGAGTTTTGCTTATTTAGGAATTGGGGGTGTTGTAGGAAAGGTTCCAAGGGGTATGCAATACTGTTCGAGTTAAGGAAAGTTGATGGCATTACAAGCACCGAGGAGCGTTGAGAAAAGTGAGGGGGTCTAAAAACAGTGGGTGGNCTGGGGGTGGGGTGGGGAGCTGGGGGTGAAGCCCCCCAAAATTGTGAAACTGTAGTATGTTTCCTTTATAACAGTCTACTGAATAAGAAGGAACACAATGGGCAGCCCCTCAATATGAATTTCGTTCCGACGGCACTGCAAGTAACTGGAGAAAACCGTTCACGTTACAATATCAGCTTCTAATCTTCTGAAATAATGCTCAAACTTATGGTTTCGAAGGTACCAGACCAACTAAAATACTTTCGGTATAAAAATGAGTACGCATACGTGATACCGATAAACGCAGTGCCATTCATTAGTGCTGAAAAAAGCTCGGTACTACCAGGGTTTGTTAGCCTAGTTATTACAATGTTCTTAAAATAAAATCCTAACAAAATATAGTTAATAGTTGTTTTAAGTGTAGCCAGCTCTTTTGTTTTCAGGCAAATCTCATCCTGGGAAATTAAACTGTCCTTAATAAAAACCAGAGAGAGATTCAGGGCTATCCAAGGGCCACTGTGGGCAGAATTTTGTTCAAAAGAGGCTGCCATCCTTTTCATGCAGCTTTGATGGTGAAAACATATCATCTTCAACACCAACTATTTTAGGAAGAGTCGTCCCAATGTCTATTATGGGGACCTTTTGAGATGAGGATGGTACCAACGTTTAGGATGTTAGAAATGCTTTTCCATAGATATTTAGGTGTGTGTTAGTGTTATTTTCTTATTGGCCATACAGTAAATCCCCGCATATAAGAACCTACAAAAATAAGAACCTAGAGGCTGTTTTTTCTAAATTATGCACCTTGTAATTAAGAACCTATTTGAGTGTGATGAAATATAATAGGTTCTTATTCCAAGGGCAAACAAATAGAGTTTTCAATAGTCCTTATTTACTCCCAGATTTTTAAAGAGGCGGTAAAACCACAATCGGTATCAAAATTTTCAGTTTTGCATTTTCAGCATTTTATACACTTTAACGAAGGAGAACTTTAAAATCACTTTGACTTTTTAACATAATTATATATAGCAAAATCCAAAATGTTCAAAAATGAAATAAAAGCATTAGAATTCATAATTTTCAATTCCTGAGGACGTATGAGATCATCCCCAGATCCATCCACTGTCATAAGACAGCCAGTGCCCTCAAATGTCTTCCTGTAAATATCTTTCTAATATTGCATTAAGAACATTGCCAAAAGGAAAAAACAGGGTTGAATGCATCTCTTGATAATGAATCCTAAAGTTTTAAATAAGGGATCCTTCGAATAAGAACCTTCATACCCTGAAATTAATCCAAGTACCTTCCCAATAAGAACCTACTTCAGCCTGAACCTCAAAAAAGTAGGTTCTTATATGCGGGGATTTACTGTACTCAGAAAGAACTTGTAACTTGGCCAACAACTCAATCAGTCTGTGTTTATCACAAGACAGACCTTTATCAAGGAAAATATTCCACAAGGTTATTCAATTCATTTTATAGTCGGTAATTTCATAGAAGTTCATTTCGGAGGACCCAGCTCAGATCTTGGCCAATCAGTTATAGTACCAATTCATTTGGGACTGAATCTTATTGTCTTTTGGTTCGCTAAATTTTCTAAGCTGCATGGTTCTAAGAACCTTTAAGCTTCATAACGACACCAAAAATCTAGATTGAAAGGCTGAATCGATTACAAAAGAACTACCCGGACAAAAGTTGTCGAGACCTTTTAAGAAAAGATGATGTATTCTCTTTCCCTTAAAAAACTCTTTCCCTGCACCCCAGACTTATTGTTGAATGCATGTTTTCGAAGCACAAATGATAGAACTGCTAATCCAACATTGATTCAGGGGATTCAAATTTACAGGGACAACGTTAAATAGAAAATTGATAAATTGCTTTTGTCTTAACAATCTTGTCCGGGATTGTAGTTTAAAAGGGTAGCTAAATTTCTTAAGCTATTACTTCTGAGTTTGAGTACCTATCCTATCCTAGATGGGCTGTGTTGAAACTGTACACCCCTTTTATCTCCTGTTGTTAATATGTCAATTTTTAAAATTTGAACGCCCTAACCTTAGATTGGAGGACTGGGAAAGACTGCATTTGTGTCCCCAATTAGTAATCTAGCAACTGAGACATGACTTATTGGGACAAACGTGATCCCTGCTCAACTGCTATAAGTGCCACCTGCAAGATTCTTTCTTCCTGCATTTGTTAACTTTACCCAGTCCCTAAAAGATTCTGCTGTCCTGTCCTGCCGCAAAAATTCTCTTCAAGGGCCGGATTCTGGCCCGCGGACCTTAGATTGCCCACAGGGATGTAGAGCTAGGTGCCTCAGGGGGGGGGGCTGAGCCCCCTTGTTGATGCCAAAAATTGGCAAATTTCTACTTTTGCTATTGTTTTTCGAACATTTTGTGCAAGAGCCCTCCTTGTTATTTTGTTAGCACTACACCACTGGTTGCCCACCCCTGGATTATACTGATTGAAAAATTAAAAGGAATCACCGTCCTATTAAATAGCTGAAAAACAAACAAATAAAGATGGCGCTTTCCCAAGTGACTTCAGGTTGCTGTTCATCCGGGAGATGATATTATTTGATCCTTCTCCCAGTGGGTTGTTTTAATATATGATAGTTTACTTAAGATGTAAGCAATACTAACAAAACATTGGAGAACAGCTAGAATAAATGCACGCCTAAACGAATAGCTTGCAAGTTCGTCAATAGACTTCTCAAGCTCTCTCAAGTAAGTTCTTCTGACAACAGATCAGGTAAACAACTTTATGCTCAATTCACAATTTTGAATTCTAAGCTGAATCTAAAAATTTCCATTGAGAGTCACACTATAGTTAAGGGAAGTGTACAACTGTACTATAAACAAAATGATGGCAAAGATCAACTGAACTCGTTTGGATAGGCCAGATATTTTTCTTAGTCAAAGAAATTTTGTACCATAACCATCCTAGTTTCAAGTTGCAGCCTACGTCCAAATCGTGTATTTCTAGGGGAGAAAAATCCAACATTGTTTGAAAGGGGAGAAGGGATCTGCAAATGTACATGACACAAATGCTGCTGGCGTTCCAAGATTTTGGCAGGCATTGTAGTGATCTCCAACTGGCATCTCAATAGTACGTTTCATCGTTGATTTCGTTTCCAAAGAAAATCTGTGCGGTGGATGTCCTTGAAGGAAATTCCTAGAAATCGTTGTTTTAACAACGCTTTTGAATACGTAGAGAGGATAAGAACATCTTAAATGAAATTGTTTGCCAAAATATCTTGATCAATAAAGAGGATGGGTTAATTTGCTTGTTTTCCCATGTGCGCCGACGCAGGATGGAAAGTGGGGGGGGGGGGGCAAAGGAGATTTCAACAATTATATCAAACAATTTAAAAAAACTCTATTGTTTTACAAAAAAGTGGAGGGCGTGCCCCCAACCCCCTTCGTCGGAGGCCCTGTTACATTCAGATTATTAGAAAGCAAGCTTATCGTGCATATTCTTAAGACCAACGCTACAAACACATTCCATTCTCTATTGGCCATGTCCAACATTGAGGTCAATACCAATACAATATTTGGACGCATCTTGGTTTCTACGTTCATATATCATTGTTAGTATAACGCAGCACACAATATCAATTCGATAATTTCAAATAGGGAAATTTATGGAAACTTCTGTTCAGGAAAGTCTCTATGAATTTTTCACTTGGCAGATTTACGAAGAGTAGCTAGTTAGACACGTTATTAATATCTGCTTCCAAATCTAAAATATGCGGAACGCCCATAACTTCAGAAAACACGAATTCAAAAGATTGTTGAATGTGTTGTGAAGTAATGACTTGATAGCTTTAACGCAAAACTCATTCAACCGGTAGATAAAACTTTTATTGAAAGAGGGTATGTCGTGCAGTGTAAATAATTAAAAAAGTTGCAGAAATATTTTTCTGACAAATTAATTTGACTTACGTTTCTACGACAACCGAATTGGGCACCTTAACCCTTATAAAATATTTTTCTCTTTTTTTCGTTGTTTTTTCTCAACAGTTAATTGTTAAAGTCTAAATGATTAAGAGGATTAATCTTTGTGCTCATACTGTTTATTCTACTGCAACCCACAACGGTATTGTTTTTGCAATGTTTTGTTGATATTGAAAATGGTCGCTAGTGGTTATGTAGCACTGGAAGCAAGAATTAAAGGAATCTTTTTGAATCTGTATCTCATTCAACATCCGCGAATGTAATTAATATTCATTTGATATCAAGCAGATAAGTATTCATTAGAAAGCAAATATTTGCTTTTCAGCTCACTGTCAACAGAGAGGCAGTTAAGGGTATAAGACTGGTTGAATGTAGGAGAAAAGGACACAGAGAACTAAAAGGCAGATTTACCTACAGGCCTAGTCGACAAAGACGACAATCTTGCAGGCATGGCTAAAGCAGGGAAGTGGCTCCTTGCGCAAATGTGCACATTGATTTGTGCTACAGGCATTTATGCTGGTAAGATCAAATATAACACAGTAACAAATTCCTGGCTTTTACAGTATCTACGAAAGCTGTACTTTGGCCTTGAGATATCTGCGTCGATTACCAAATTTTTTGGAGGACATTATCTAGGCAGAGGCTTTCAATTAGCTCTAGCTTTACTGATAGAGAAAGTTTTTATATTCTGTTTTTGAAAAAAATTAGCTCAGAGGCAGGATGACGTAATTAAGAAATATTCCTGTTTTTGTTTCTGTTGATTTATAATAAGCTGTTTCTGTAAACAGGCCACCTTCTGCAAACTCTTCCCTGTGTTGACATTTTCAAGACTAATTTTGTGATATGATTAAGAGCAAATCTGTTGATATCCCACAAATATTAAACCAACTGAGTTTATGTTTCTCTCAAATGTAAACGGAGAAATCGCCGGGTGAGTTTTCTTTTGTTAGTACTTTTGTCTTGTTCGATGAAGTTGGAAAATCATATGTTGTCTTAGCTGTTCTAAAACTGTCATTTTACAAATCAAATCACTATTTTTTGTAACTTTCAACTTCTAATACAATTTGAGTCGTTTATGCTGGGTTATTAAAGGGATTAACTGGCTATGCCCTCTTGACTGGGTTTCTGCAATAAGAATAATGATAAATTTTAATGCCACTGGGATGGCTGCCCTCACCCCATATCTTTTCGCTTATCTCACCACTACGAAAGAAAGTGTCAGAATAGTTGCGACGTGAGACTTTCTTATAAATATATTTAACAAACTAGCAAGAATTAAACTAATTGAGATTTCTAATTTTAGGTTATGAGAATTTGATTTACTTTCTGTAGAGAATTTAGAATGAAAGTGAGCTAGTGAGTTAGGTCCTGATGCCTAAGTTCCTTTGAAGAAACTTGTATATTTACAGTATTGGTTTCTAGAAAATAAGCACTAGCTAGATTCTCGCTCAAGATAAAAAATCACCCTTGTTTATATTATCTCTGTTTATATTATCAAAAATCACCACTCGACTTTATATCGAATAACCTTCCTGTTTTGCAGTAACTTTTTTATTAGTAATCCACATTTTGCTGTAAAATTTTATTAATCCAATTTATTGGGATATGTCAGTGATGCATCTTTGGCTTACTCTTAATCGGCTGATAATAATTTTATTAGAATCTAGTATGTAATTTAATATATTATATTATAATTATATAATAATTCTATATCTCTGTTCTAGCTCCGACACTAAATGCTCATGACTTGATAATGGAAGTAAATATGAAGGAAATAGCAAAAAGAAATGCGAAGGCGATTTCTGCAGAAGACAAAATACTTCAGAAAAACCAGGCACTTGGTGTTGATCTTTTTGAAGGAGATATAAAAATTACAAAAGAAGAGATGAAGAAATACTATGGAGAAAATAGCGACAAAAGAAGTGCTACTATAGACAGCCGATCACTGTGGGGATCGCGAACAATCCCCTACGTTATTACACATTCAGGTATGTACAACTTACGTACAAGAAAAATCCTAAGATCAAGGGTTAATTTAAGGTGCAGTGACGACCAATTTGTGCAGTGATGAATTACAAATGTGCAGTGATGAATTGAAAAATGTGTAGTGATGAATTGAAAAATGTGTAGTGATGAATTTCTTCACTTAACTACTCCAAATACTACTGATTACACTACTGAGACAAATGAATACAAGCTATCATCGAGAATCAAATGAGATAATGGAATCAAACTCAACTAAAACCAACGTTAATAATAAAAATAATATACAGTTAATCACAAACGCACTTCATAATGCCTTTGAATTTGGAAATCCATATGCTAGTTATACGGCGTGGCAGAACTCAGACAACTTAGCATGAGTTTTCGCATCCCCTTTTGAAACTATATTTCAAGTAGAGGCATCAATGCTTGCTGTTAGGTTTCATTGGCCATTTTCTACTCTTTATGATAACCAAATAAATTATATCTTTATGTATCTCAGGCACGATGCCACTTGGGGCTAAAGCCCCCCACTTTTTCAGAGATAAAAATTTGTTGACCCTTCTTTTTTCTTATTTTTGAAAACAATGTATGAAATAAAAAGAAAATAAACTGTTTATATACTTTTTGATTTTCTTTTATCTTAATGCTAACTTGTTTAGGTATATTTCTATTACTTTTCTATTCTTTTCATTAATTCAGTAGATAACTTTCTAGTTTCTATATCATTGCAATGTCTACATTTTGGATGTGTAAACGTGGCCTACTGAAAATACTCGAGACAAAGAAGATGCATATTTCTGTTCAGGGAGTAAATTTCTCTCAATCAGTACAACAGCTTTTTGTTATTCACATCGATGTGCACTCTGAACCGAAGATCACCATTTCTATCTTTCCCCAACGTCTGTCACTAGAGTTTTAGCACGACTCCTCCCCTCCCAAATTTTTCCTAAAAATCAGTGATCGATGATTTTCTGAGAAGCGTCAAATTGTTCTATCTGCGCGTTATAGTAAATTGTTAAACTTTAGTATGGGAGATGCATTTTTAGCCGTTCTAGAAAGCCCAATTTCAAAAATGTTCTTTGTATTACTGTTGTGTATGCGCGCGCGATGCCTAAGATCCGCTGCGACCTAACGCTAGACCTAGAGAGCACACGAGACAAGACGCCATGTTTTCACTCCGACCCTGATCTAATCTCCTCTATCAACTCCAATCCGAGGCTAATATAAAATGGTTTATGCCTAATACATTACAATTACCATGTATTACCGTCCCTGTATTACCAATGTTATACCGTTGATTCATATTCAGAAAGTAGGCTTTCAAGACTCTCCTGAAAAACGAGCATTTATCCCTCGGACAGACTAACAAATCTTTATCTGCAACTTGATAGAATGCTTACATATCTGCAAACAAAGTAAACGTTTCTTTAGAATATCTCTTCTGTCAGTAAAAGTGTCTAAAAACTATGTTGCAAAGGATTTTTCTGGTAATATGTATACATAATCAGTATTAGCTGTAGTTAGGCTGAATTACACTGAAAGTGTCCCTAAAAATAATGTTAAACGTTTTTGTTCTGCCCAGAAGAAGTCCAGTCAAAACTTAGCCACACCCCTAGCCACACCCTAGTTGGCCCCGAAAATCGGCTATTTACGCTGTTTTTGTGCAGTGATGAAAATTCCTTAAATTAATGCCTGCCTAAGATAGTGATTCACACCACTAGATGCACGTATTATCATTCAAGGGAATGAAAGAAGGGGTATTTTCAAGGTAGGTCAAAGACAATTTTTGAGACGGAACGAGGTGGTTTTCTGATTGTCAGGAGGAACTCAAGCAACCGCTGCCTAGATATTGCTAAACGTTCTTCGAAATGTTGGTTTAAAAGCTTCTTAACTCAAAAGACTATTACACCTTGGTTTCCTTTTAAGACCGGCCCATAAAGCTGTTTGCTTTGTACGAAATTGTGCTACTCCTACTGAAAAATACCCTGGGTTCCAGAGTCTCTATTATTTAGTCTCAAAAAAATTCATTTGAATGATATTCTTTGCCACCACAGTGGTCTATTATACTTTATCACCGGTTTCTTAAAGGCTCTGGTACTGAAAAAGCATAACTGTTTCAAATGCAGTAACTACAGATTTTGCAGATTAATTTTTAAGAAGGTCATTATTTTTACTTTAACAGGAGAAGCAAGACTTAAGATAAAAGCAGCTCTTGATGTCATCATGTCCAAAGTTCCCTGTCTCAAATTCAGGGAGAAAACCTATACAGACAGCCACTATATGGAATTCACAACAGGCATTGGGTGAGTTGCTCCAGAAAACAGTGATATTTGAAATTTGTTAATACAAATTTGTATATCATGAGTAATAAGAATTTTATCATCAGTTATACATGGTTAAGAGAAAGCAATGGTAGATACCATGGAAGTGGTTAGATATCAAGCTCACTTATGCAAAGTGAACCGAATTTGTTCTTGCGGTCATTTTGAATGGTAGAAAGGCTCTGTAATATGTGATGTTTCTTATTCTGTTGGAGTATTGGATTATATCTTCAAAGTATTTTTCAATAATCTCCTTTGTTCTGATATCAGTATTTTTTGTCAAAATACTCATTGAAGAAGCTCATGTTAAATGCTAACTGCTTCTATACTGTTAAGATAATTCACCTCTTAACATCCCCCCCTCTCCAGCTCCCAAATATTCAATTGTCACATCTCCGTAGCCAACTTTTGTCCATAATTAAATTCTTTGGTAGGAAAAGAAGGTAAACCAGTTCAATGTTTGCGTTGTCGGCTACATCTTTTAATGATTTCTGTCTATCTTTGTAGATGCTGGTCCTATATCGGGCGTCGTCACTTTTCTCCAAACACGGCCGTGTCGCTCCCATCTGGTTGCCTTTCCCAAACAGTAATAATACACGAAGTCATGCACGCCCTTGGTTAGTTGAAAACGCGATCTTTATAATGCTTTCTCAACCTTACGTTACTGTTGAAAGCTGTGTGCTAAACCAGTGCCATCGGAACTACCTTCATGTTGGGGGAAGGGGGTGGGGCTGAACGAAGAGAAATGGGTCTGTTGCCCCTTAATATTGCTTGTTGATCAAAAATAGTTTGGCAACTATTGGCGGGTTGCCGTCCCATTTTAGACATCTGCTTCCGATGGTCCTGCAAACATATGGCTACAGAAATTTTTCAACCGCCAGGATCCGTGATATTCAAATCTGAGTGATTAAACAAAATAGCAACCTTGCCTTTCCGCTTCATCAAAAAATCAGCCCGTTTTTTGGTAGAAGATTTCTTTTTGGGAAGTTGAAATGGTTTTGGGCAAGCCGTTCATCTATGCTGTTTTCTATCAATCCATTAATAATTTTTGGGTATATAGGCTATTTGATGCTTTGTCTTTGATGTTTTAGAATTTTAATGAACGGGCTTCTTACTGTGTATAACTCTGTTTTTATGTGGCTATGAAATGTGATTCACTCCAGTTTTTCATTTTTTCTACCTTGTATTTTCATATGCCTTGTATCATATATAATTATATATAATACTTTTTCTGTTATGAGTTTTAATTAGATTAACTGTCTAGCATCAACTCTCTTTTTCAGGATTCTTCCACGAGCAGTCAAGACCTGATCGTGACAGCTACGTCACTATTTTCTACGAGAATATAAACACAGGTCTCTTTCTCACTGTCTCTTACTCCTGGAACCTAGCCTGCGTGCAGACTCTGTTGCGCAGACTACTGGAACCTGATTGCAATAAACATTAACTGTAAGGAAAGCTAGGCTGGGAAATCACGCAAAAACCTCGAGGTTAAGGAAACCTGTTTAAAGAACACGCACAAACTTTACAAACAATTTCCCTTTATTTTGCTTCATTTCATTTACGAACCTTCGTCAGACAATATTTCAAAGTGTGTTGTAGCAACCATCTTTTTGTTTTGATTGATTAGCGTACGAGGGTTTTTTTCATTAGACTTTGTCACAAGGTGTCACCAACCGAACAGCCAAAGCTCTTGAACAGTGTGAATTTTTTTGCAGGTCATCTTGATAACTTCAAAAGAATGACTTACCAGCAAAGTATTACCCAGGATACACCGTACGATTACAAATCTATTATGCATTATACACAGACGACCTTCACAAGAGATGGCCAAGATACCATGAGAGCCAAATTTGATCCAGCAATGCCGCTTGGCAACACGGAGATGAGCGATCTTGATATTCTTGAGCTCAATAAACTGTACCAATGCCATGGTGAGTCATTAGCTTGCGTTTAACAATAGGGATCAGTAAAGAATGGTCAAAGTGCACATAGGTGTAATTGTTTCTAAACGTTTAGGGCGGCTTAGTATAGATTATACAATAATGGAACCCAGAGAACCACGCACCAGTCTAAAACTGGGTGGGCTGAGAAGGGTGTGACCGAAGAATTTTCGAGCCGAAGAATCGTCATAAAACGCCCCTTGCATAAAATACTTGCTTCTTTCTACTTATTAAAGTATTATTCAAAAATTTATATCCTTATCAGTCAAAATCTAAAGATATAAAACAACGTAGGCAGAGAAAGAGTGGATACTGCAGTTCAGCTCACCAATACCCGAAAGTGTTCTATGTATGAAAATATGATCCACCTTATTAGTGTCACCAGGCGGTATCTAATACTCCTAGAGTTATAATTGAAATTAAGGGACTTCTGAACCAATGGGCCTGGAGAGAAATGCTCCACCATTTACAAATGTTTTGCTACATTTTTAAAAAAGTATCCGTTCCTTTTTTATAAAAATTTTTCTGTTGCATACCACTTAGATTCCAAATGGTGCCCCTTCTTCGCTGTGTCCCCCTTTCAACATGTTCTTGATCATTTTTTGTGGGGAATCGATAATGCTATCCTTTATACCAAAGCCACATATATTCGAGCACACAAATAAAAGATTGGAAAGAAGAAGCGAAGGAGCGACCGGCAAAAAGTTTTTGCTTAAAATAAGAAATAATTGACGTGAGAGAAGAAAGGTCAGAGGCCAGAAGTCAAAGAACAAAGCAATGCCTGCCACCAAAACAATTTTTTCTCATTTCAATCTCTATTTCGTCTTTTCCAAATTTTTGGCCACAGAGGTAATCCAAACCTTAAATTTAAGTTGGCAGACAAAATCATCTGTGGAATGGGGGGGGGATGCTCTTGTCAACCACACCTCCACAGCTCTCCCCCTTGTTATTAACCGTATTGTAGGAATGAATGTTGCTGTTGAGGTTTGTTGCAAAAAATTCTTAATTGAAAGCATATTCTTGTAAAAATCGACATACGGTTCAATTGACAGTAAGCTCAAGTGCGAAATGGAGTGAATGGACATCATGGACGCCGTGCATGAATTACGGATCGTCCTGTGTAAAGCTCAGGCAACGGTTTTGTATGTCAGAAAACAGAGCCGATTGCCCTGGGGCTGATTCTTATGGAGTGATTGAGGAAACGCAACCATGTACATCTTGTCAAGGTCAGTCCAAAAATATTGTCTCTATCATTTAAGAACTCTGCTGCCATAAGAATACTCTTGAAAGAAATCTAATGGAAGCTAGTAAACTTTTTGTGTTATTTTTTTGTTCATCTACTGCCGTCAATAAAGAAGGTTTACATTGGTCTCTGAAGGTAACTTGTCTGTGTCTATGTCATAAACTGATATATATAGACTTCATAATTTATGTCTTTATATGTGAGTTACAGAGAACATATTGATAAAAGACAGAATTCACGCGATTTTTCATTAATTTATATTTAAGAAACAATCGACAATAGTGGCGTATTGCAGCGAAAAAACAGTTTTGTTTAGCGTCGCTTTCCAAATACCTGTATATAAGTGTATATAAGTCTTTGTTTTATAGAGGCAATGAACGGACACTGGAATAAGTGGGGGTCTTGGGGCAGTTGCTCTAAGACATGCAACGAAGGAGTCAGGACTCGACATAGAAAATGTGATAATCCAGCCCCTTCAAATGGTGGATCACAGTGCCCCGGCTCAAGTACACACACAGTCATTTGCCGAATCAAGAGGTGTAACCAACGTAAGCTCATTTAAACACATTGACTACAGGGTTGTTGCTAGTGACAAACCTTTAAGGTACTAATGTTCACATGAACTACACTATTCTTTTTAACTGCCGATAAAGGATTTCAAACCGAAAGATATGAAGATTGCCCACATCTAAAAGCGCTTTTGGGGCATCTATCCCCAAGGATTGAAGGTGAATTAAAGACGGTCTCAAGGCTCTATCGAGAAAATTTTAGGATTAGTTCAAGTATGAAGGTTTTAATAAGTTAATAGAGTTGTCAAGTGATGATGTCACAAAAATCTATATTTAGAATTTTTGAAATATTTTCCCATAACCTGAAAGAGCATCACAAAAAACCTCTAAATCTGCAAAATCAGTTGAAGGTATTACGATTTGGCCGAAATATGTCCAGATAAGCGCAAGCTCTGGCCCCATCAAACCTCTGTATTTTGTTCTCAGTTCATAACTTTATGAACTAAGCCAAAATAAAAGTAATCCGTTAGCAAACTTCAAATCTTCTATTGGCCATAGCTCGCCCAATTTTTGACAAATTTAGCTGATTTTTGCACACATGGGAGTATTTTATGGTGTTCTTTAATGTTATGTGGTCAAAATTCGAAAATTTTAAAAATGTTTTTTTGTGACGTCACACTTGAGAACTGTATTCCATTGAGATTTTGTACTAAAATTTTTACTACTGAATTATTGACAAATTATGAAGTTGAACATTGATTCCAATCACAGAAGTTCAAGCTGGTAAAGGCAACCGTCATATAATTTTGCAATAGCAGATTTCGAACTTGGCAGATAAGTTACCAGCAGTCTGAATCTAGTGTGGTCTGTCAAACAGAGATTGAACGCTGTTACTTCTTTTAAGTATGATTGTATTAAGCATGAATTGAAAGCTTCTTTTTAGAGACTATTGGTTGAATATCATCGAATCATAGTGTTTATTTGACATCTAGATTATTATGACACGAGCTTTGAAGACGGCTGGGGGATGTGGCAGCAGTCGCAAGCTGATGATGGCCTCAACTGGATAAGAGCATACGGGCCAACGCCAACTTCAAACACAGGACCAGAAGGCGATCATACATCTCATTACGGTTTGTTATGTTAATAAGCCTTCTACTGTATTGAAAAAGTAAATATGCAGACATCTACGGTTCGACATCTTTCAACTGAGGAACACGAGTTTCGAAAGTTGCATCTGAGGCAAAGGGGTTTTGAAACTTTTTACTGAGGCACACGAGATTTGGAGCTTTCAACTAAGGCACACCAATTTTTAAAATGCCTCAACCCACAGCTTTTATATGGGTTTTAAGGATCCTTTCATCACGAGAAAGGACGAATTTCTATTTTGTATGATACACTCAATAAATCATGACATTGAGTTTGTCTCATCTTTATCAACGAGAATTACCAGGTTTCTTTCTTGTTTGATAGTGCAAGCATCTCTTCCTTAATGATAGTCTATGTTGATCATAAAGCCGTGCATGAATTACGGATCGTCCTGTGTGAGCACAATTATCAACCATGAATAAAATCTAAACCATGAACCCAGTCAGATTTTATTCTGGATCCACCCCCGTGAAGTCTTACAAAGACCAAATTCCAGTGATTCGGTGGGAAAAAACTATACACATGTGGTCATTTCTCACCATATTTTGCTTGGATTTTGCATTTTAAGAGTTTTTCACGCTGTTCCTTTAGATTGCATGGTCAAAATCAAGTGTATATAGATTTCTGATGACGTCACACTTTGGTACTCCACTAGCACATATTTTTGGCTTAGTTACAGCTGCCTGCATCTTCAAAAACCAAATCAAAGTTGCCATTTTTACTGTGACGTAGTGAGAGAAATGAGCAGGTGCTCAACCTAAATGTCCAATTAGTGTTTGAAAATATTATGTCACTCGCTGTGTTCTGAAGGTGCTGAGGCAACTCGTCCAAAAAATTTTAAATACAGAACGTTTTGATATTTGAACTAACAGCACTTGCTAAGTTGAATGTTTATACTTCCTAGTCTAGATTTGCAAATTGATACTGAGCCGGTATAGAAGAATAGAGTTAAGATTAACTTCACCTCCAGTTGACGGAAAGTACCGTTCAGAGCTGTTCCCCAAGATCCATCCTTAGGCCCCATTTTGTTCATCATACATGTACTAATACCTAGAAAGCAACTTAGAACCGTCCTGTACTGTTCTATACACCAAAAGCGTTTATAGTTCTGTCTATGCTGCATCGAGCACTTTGTGACAGACGGGTAAACAGTAGTTTGCATTTCATGTATAAAAAGGTTTTCATCTTAGTCAATAGAGCTGAAATCTGTGGCTACACATATAGAACTGCAAGGTATTTGAAGATTAGAATGCTGCTCACAATCGCGAGTGAAATAACATCCATCAAAATGAGTTTCTTGCCCATCAGAAAGTAAACAAGAATAGTCACTCAGAGTGATGATAACAGGAATTTCAATTTCAAAGCTTATGTTGAATGATTGATCTCGTTGTTCATTACCTAGTTCCCAGATCTGTGTACATAGAGAAAACTCATTAAGTCACAGTTAAACTACTGTTAAGTGGCTTGAACGCTCCAAGACGAGAAAGCACACGCAGAGAGTTTTGATTACGATATTGAGAAATCCCTTCAGTTTGAGGGAAACAGATTACTCGGGCCTATTCATCAACTCTGCAGCTGAAGATATAGTATTGCTGGGATTATATGAAACAACAATGAACAAATATCCAAGGTCTATGAAGACAGTATTTCAATTTTCAAGACATTTATAAAAATGCTATAGTCAATGATTGGAGAGGCAAAGTCACTGATACAACTAAATTGTGTATTCAAGCTTCGAGGAGACACTTCCCACAGTTTTTAATAAAATCTGCTCTTCGTAACTTCCAAAAAAATAATTTGCAACTGTGGGTTTAGCAGTGCTTTTTTCTATCTTTTGCAACAATCTTCTATTATCTATATGCATTCTCTGTAATTTACCAACTTTTATGTATTGATAACGGAATTTATACTTCTTAGGAACTATATCTGCGCCAGGAGCTACTTCTATGTTATAGGTTGCTACACTTGACCTATATTATAGGCTATTATTTCGTGATATTGTAGGCTATTATTTTTTGATTTTATAGGTTATTATTTCTTAGTATTATAGGCTATTACTTCGTGATATTATAGACTGTTATTTCTTGACATTGTAGGCTATTATTTCTTAATATTATAGGCAATTACTTCGTGATATTATAGGCTATTACTTCGTGATATTATAGGCTACTTCTTTGTAATATTATAGGCTATTATTTCTTAATATTATAGGCTATTACTTCGTGATATTATAGGCTATTACTTCGTGATATTATAGGCTATTATTTCTTAATATTATAGGCTATTACTTCGTGATATTATAGGCTATTATTTCTTGATATTATAGGCTATTATTTCTTGATATTATAGGCTATTATTTCTTGATATTATAGGCAATTACTTTGTGATATTATAGGCTATTACTTCGTGATATTATAGGCTACTTCTTTGTAATATTATAGGCTATTATTTCTTAATATTATAGGCTATTACTTCGTGATATTATAGGCTATTACTTCGTGATATTATAGGCTATTATTTCTTAATATTATAGGCTATTACTTCGTGATATTATAGGCTATTATTTCTTGATATTATAGGCTATTATTTCTTAATATTATAGGCAATTACTTCGTGATATTATAGGCTATTACTTCGTGATATTATAGGCTACTTCTTTGTAATATTATAGGCTATTATTTCTTAATATTATAGGCTATTACTTCGTGATATTATAGGCTATTACTTCGTGATATTATAGGCTATTATTTCTTAATATTATAGGCTATTACTTCGTGATATTATAGGCAATTACTTCGTGATATTATAGGCTATTATTTCTTGATATTATAGGCTATTACTTCGTGATATTATAGGCTATCACTTTGTGATATTATAGACTATTATTTCTTGATATTATAGGCTATTACTTTGTGATATTATAGGCTATCACTTTGTGATATTATAGGCTATTATTTCTTGATATTATAGGCTATTACTTCGTGATATTATAGGCTATTATTTCTTGATATTATAGGCTATTACTTCGTGATATTATAGGCTATCACTTTGTGATATTATAGGCTATTATTTCTTGATATTATAGGCTATTACTTTGTGATATTATAGGCTATTACTTCGTGATATTATAGGCTATTATTTCTTGATATTATAGGCTATTATTTCTTGATATTATAGGCTATTATTTCTTTGCTACAGGTTATTATGCTTATGTCGAGGCTGGATCTATTGACCATGGTAAGAGGGCTATTCTCAAGAGCCCTGAGTTTCATGCCAACTCTGGCGACAAATGCTTGTCTTTTTATTATAATATGAATGGAAAAAAGATGGGTACACTTAAAGTGATAATTCGCTACAAGTCTGGATCATCCATTGAGGGGTGGCAGAAATCTGGTCACCAAGGGAACCACTGGAATCCTGCAGCCGTTAATCTTCCGGCTAGCACAGAACCGTATACGGTATGATTTTTACATGATGTAGATTTCACGGAATTATGCGGGACTGTTTCCTTTTTGTAATTTTATTTTCTAATTTTTTGTTTGTCTTTTTTGTGCTGTTTAGTTTTTTTGTTGTTGTTTGTTCTTTTCATTATCTTCCTCAAAGGTTTTTTTTCTTTCCCTTCATGAACTCATTTTCATCTTCGTTATTACCTAGATAATTTTTCATAAGACTCCTTTTAATAAACGTGTCGTTAAAAATACAATTTTACACCTCGCTTTTATTGAGCATTGTACAATTGTTGCCTTGAATAATGATCATAATCAGTATGCTTTTACTTGATAAAAGTTTTATTTCAGTAAAACAGGGATGCGAACTAATTTGGCACAACTATTCACAAGAAAAACAAGACTGGAATGCATTTTCAGCTATTCTATATTTCTCTGAACTTCTAATTTTTGTGTGTGTTGTTTTTCACCTTCCTACTAGTTTCTTTAAGCACCCTTTCTTTCTTTTTCATGAAGGGGACCTGATCTTTGTAGCAACCAGTGTGAATTATTCATAAAAATTCATATTTGTAAAATGATAAGGAGCATTTTATGCCATTGATTCATATTTTGTAATCGGACATTCAATTAATTGTTAACATTATCATCATAATCACCATGAAACATATATTAGCCTATTCAAGCAGTTAATAATTTCAATATCTTTTCAATCAGCATCGCCACATTTTTTAAACCGAATCTTTCAATTTTTATAGATCGAGATCGAAGGTAAAATTGGTTTCTCCCCTTACTCAGACATAGCAATTGACGATGTTTATGTTGATGGTGGAAAGTGCGTTGCTGGATTAGAAAGTAAGTATTCCTCTGCAGTGGTCAAAGAATAAACTCACATTTGAAGACGACAATAGTATTGATTTTTTTTGAAAGCACTGATTTGTTGAAACTTAGTCAGACCTTGTCTATTCTTTATAAATCAGCTTGCAAGGATACGGACTCTAACTGCCAAAACTGGGCCAAAAGTGGTGAGTGCCACAAGAATCCCTCATGGATGCTACGAAGTTGCTGCAGCTCCTGCTCTGGAAGTAAGTAGCTACCTTGCCTAAACTAACTGGAACATTCCAATCTAAATGCATACTGTAAACAAATGCAAGTCTGAGACTTTTTTTTCAATATTCCAATTTTACTTCTGAAAATTTCACCCTCTCCTCCTGTACAATATCTTCTGCACACAAGATTTTTCAAAACATCACCGTCAGTGGCAAAATGTAAATATTTATCAACATTGCAATGGAGGGATAGGGGTTTTTGGCAAAAATTCTTTAAATTTCTCCAGTGCTCCAGCAATTTTGGAAGGGATGGAGGTTTCATGGGGAGTTAGAAAACGATAGGACCATGGGCATCATGGAAGAGCACAGAAGGGAGTATGTGCACAGCATTATCCTGCTGGAACCTTTATTAGAAAAGTTCTCAAAATTTCCACACATTAATAAAACATGCATTTTTAAAAATTTTCTGTAAGAGTTTTAAATGCATTTTTCTTTACATGAACATTTGGTAGGTTTTCCACGCCCTTTAAGAAAAGCTTTGCTGTAGTGCATAAATATATGGCTTGTCTTGTTGTATGTTTTTCTATTTGCAAGACTTTCATTGGATAGAATAGGAAATATTTACGTCATTTTGTTATATTTGTAGGTATGGGGTCATGTACAGCGGATACATATGGAGCTACACAATGTGCGTCGTTTGTCAAGAACTATGGATGCACACACAACGGAGAGTGGATGTGGGCAAACTGTTGCAAATCTTGCAAAGGTTTTTACACATTTTTTTCATCATATCAATATTCAAAGACAATCTGCAGCAAATTGAACTGCAAGCGGCTTTTGTACAAAGCTTTTTGAATAGTCTTGATAACCTAAAAATTTTCAAATGCCTCAAAGGCACAAAACTTGTATCAAATTTTGGTATCATAGCTCAAAGTTATATTTCTGGGGGGTCTTTTTAGATAAAAGGACACATTTTTACGTCAGAAATGCTGTTGTTAAATTGTCTGTTGATTTGTCATTAGGAGAACGTTCACTTCTAGCAGGTTCTTATTAACTGAATGCGATTTGCATTAAGGTTATTAATCTGATTTAGATTGCCTGGATTCTATGGGGGAATGTGCATACTGGGCATCGATTGGTGAATGTGACAACAACAAATCGTGGATGCAAGAAAACTGCAAGCTAAGTTGCAAAGTCTGCAAGCCATAAATCTGGTGGTGAGCATTACCACTTTTTATGATATGTAAGAGATTTGACTATAATACATTCTGATGAAACATATCATTCTTAAAGAATTACTTGGTCTGATCTCAGGAGTCCAAGTTTATTTTCTTACTGGGACGGCATTTCTATCTACGAACTACAAGAAAGTCTTTTCCAACGGTGAATTACATTTTAAACAGAATAGCAAGATGGGAACATGATAATATTTCTCGTTCACTAGGGGGTAGCAAAGGTTTCAATTAAAGAGCCTTTAAAGTTTAGAAGGCAATGTGAAATTGAACTCGATCGGGAGCCCTTGGTTATCGGAATAAGGTGCCATAAACTGCGTTACGCCCCATTCGAAACCTGCTTTCGAATGAACAATAAGAAAACAGTTGCTTCCTTACGAGCAATGCAATCTGGAATCTGTTAACTGAAGAATATTTTGGACATGGATTAGTCGCATGGTCATGGAAGTGGGTTGTTTGATGTAATATGCACTGAAGCAAATCATTTATCAGGGACTGTTTCATAAGTTTCAAAGTATGTGTCGAGATTTCCAATTTTCACAATGATGAAAAAGTCGTAGCCTTTTTGGCAGCAGACTGTTGAGAAGATGCGCAAAAATTATCAGTAAAACAATAACAAGAAATAAAAATTCCCCATAGTTTGACACTAACAAGGGGGATAATGTCCCCAGATCCCCTTAGCATTGCTCTCCTTAATTCATAGCCACCAGTTACGCTTTAATACTTCTCTTTCTTTGGACAGGAAGATTTTGCAAATGCTCCCATTCCTAAATTGATCAATTTCTGAAGCAATCTCTGTAGAATGGTCACCATTTTGTTGGTAACACTGAAACCAAGACGATAGTTATTATCAAGTACTTCTTATACAAGTACATACTAGTTGAAAACATTGAAACAGAGAGGAAAGAATTTAACAATGTTATCAATGCAGAAAGCTGTAGCAACTTCCAATAACAATGACGTACAAAGAACATAAATTACTAACTAATATCAATTCGTATTTCTGCATAACACATTAAAAATTACAAACCCCAAGGACAAAGCTTTTAAGCAGAGTCTTATTTCTTGAAACTACTGTTGTCCAACCCGCTCCCTATGCTATTTATGCTAAGTGTTGTTCCATACAACATCGTGTCCCTGCAATAGAGGGTAATAAAGTAACTATGAGTAATGCCTTTCGTGGTGTATATCCTTAACTTTATGCCTCTAAAAAGTGATCAGAATTTACAATACCAATTGGGGTCATACAGGAAAGCTCAAGCACTTCCAAATTTGCTAGCTTTACTAGGGCAGCATTTTGTTATCTTTTTAGTTAAATATGCAAGGCAAGCTTTTTTGCTTTCCATCTTAGATTTGGAGGTATTGTCAATAATTAAGACAATATGTTCTAATAAGGACAGCCTATTAAATTAATGTCAATACCAAAAGACTCTTCAATATCACATCTGTCATGAAAGTTTTACTAGATGCAATACAGTAAGACGACAAAGTTGTTTTTCTTTGCAGGGATACCAATGGAACTGGGGGACTTTGTTGTAAATATGGCAAAAGACGATGATAATCAAAATAATTATATTTATTGCTTTCAAATGCTGCAGACATATAATCTGAACATACTAATTATCTCTTAATAAGGCTTTTATTTTATGGCTATTTAACTATTCTTTCATGATTATTTAACTATTCTTAAATTGCATAATAATGTTTGGGTATATAAATGGGTGAGAGATATCGCTTTTTTTAATTTCTGATACAATCTGTATGCTTTTGTAATAGGGGTTTTCACCAAATGAATGTATCCACCCTATCGTTTTCGTCGAGACTAAATGGTCCTTCCATCAATGAGAAATTAAACAAATAGACACAATGATAATGTTCAAACGTCTATCTTCAGATCAAACGATCTTTCCGCAAATTAGGTTCTATAAATATAATGTTTCTCTACGGTTGTCCCGTAACGTCGATTCGTTCTCTTAATCTCAGGCACAGTCTTTCTCAAGCACTGTCCTCTCAAACATATAAAATAATCCACAATAATCCACAATAATCGTCACGCGCGATACCATAAATTACAATACCTATCCTATAAATCCATAGTTTATGCCGACAAGATCTTTTACAAGCATCTTGCCACATAAGTGAAACGTCGAGAACCTAAATATACAAAATATCAAAACTTAACCTAATCGCTCTTAACCGTAATTCCATCTCCAACTTCAACTCCAACTCCAACTAACTCTAAATGTAACACGCCCCAAAATATAACTAAACAAGGACTAATTGTAATGCTACATAGCTACGTAAATTTACATAATAATAGTGAATACAAATATATTACTCCCAAGATTAATTACATAAACTGAATAATGATGTAAAAAATCCCAAATGAAATAATTAATGAATCTAAAGGTGCAATTAGATAACAAAAGCAATTATAAACAATCGAAGTTACAGGTTACAGGATGCAAAAGAAACGAAATCCAAACTAGCACTATTACACTTTATTAACGCCACAACTGAGTTTATATTTTACGACGAGCTTTTACCTCAACATAATCTGCTATTTGATATTACAATTTTTTAAGACTTCAACTTTTGGTATAATACAAAATCAATTCATCAAGCTACATTACCCCATAGTTTTGCTTGCGTTCATTGTTAAGCAAAAATCTCCCCCCCCCCACCCTCTTTGGATAATCCTTGAATAACATGTACAAAATGAAAAGGCTACGGTAGCATAACTGCTCTATTGTCTCCAGTCGAAGAAGTCGGTAAAATTGTAAGTAAGGAACACCGCAATGTGCTGAGAAGAAACAACACCGACCACAAATAAATTAAAGATACCTAACCATTCGCCCCAATTTACGAAGCTTCATCAGAATAAAAGTTAACGAATCGCATTAATGTCATAGTTAATTACAAAAATGATATTACTCGTTCTGAAATACAGCACTCAACATATTTTTACGTTTCTACAAAGAACCGTGCATGCTATTGCATTTATTTTGCATAGGGAAGGGATCATGCATGAACTGACAGCGTCACACCCACAGGGATGATAGGCTGCCATCATCAACAAATCCATGCTAATTTTCTGCGAACTGCATCAGAGGGTATTTGTCTAAAAGGTCTCTTGCATAAGGAGGTAACTTACTTTTCTGTTAATTGTTTACAAACGCGTTGAGTTCTCCTACATCATAATTTTCAGGCTAATGGATATTTGAATTAGCTCTGTCGTTTTAATAGATGAAGAAATGTCCACCTGATACACAGAAAGGAAACCAATACTCCTCTCTCAAGCACGAAATAGGCTTTAAACAAGTCTACCCTGATATTTAAATCAAACACCTTTCTGTTTATCTAAACCTATCTTTCAGCAATACCACAATGACTTGTAAAACATATCATTAATACAAAAAGTTGAGAAAATTCCCAGAATCTAGGAGTAAACATTTCTCTTTTCTTGACAGTGAAAATATTCTGATTTCCTAGTAAGTTAAAATCAAAAGATATTTTCATTTAGAGACATCTTTCAGGTAGGGGAAAACAGTATGTTTCAGAAAACGATTATTTCAAAGAAGGATTATTTCAAAAGTTTGATAAGGGGAGTGCATTAAAGGCATTTATGCTTGCAGTTCTGATTCTTTCAATCCTTCGTCTGCTACAAAAAGTATTTTGTTACCAGCAGTGGCGTTCCTTGACCTCCCTGACTAGGAGGGGGCTGTAAACGGTCATGAAAAATAGAATTTACCAATGAAGATGTGGGAAGACAGAATTTTATTTCTGCTCTAACAAATGATTAATTTACTGATCAACTGAAGATTCTACCGACTTACTCATGAAAAACAAAGAGATTACTCAGGAAAAACAAAGGGATTACCCTTCCCCCCAAATACGCTAAAACATTGATGCCAAACCTGCATGGCAAACTCTGTATTGACTTTAGACTATTCTGTCCAAGCATCTACAAAGTCTGTATCAAAGTTATGTCAATAGGTGCGAGCAGAATTGTTAAATTTTCATAGGACACGTTCTTTAGACAAGATACGTTTAGTATTTTTTCTAACAACGGTTGGTCCTGAAAAAGACACCCTTTCTCGTCGCTTGAAACTTCCATCACCACACGCTCAGGAACTTCCTAAGCTGTATCAGCTTTCTGTCTCATTGGAACAACAGCAGTTGGTTTTGAATCCATCTTTAACCGTCTTTTGATGCATATATCCGCAATAGGCTCAAAAATAGGCCGTAACCAGAACAGTTTTGTTGCTATAGTAATTACATGTTTGTTCACATTTGCTTGAAAGATACGCATTGCCAAGAAGGTGCCACAAATTGGTAAGATTGAGACTATAAGGGAGCATATCAGAACTTGCATGCTAAGAACGGTCTTTCTGTATCGGCTTAACGTTGGGTATGAAAGACTGATGTTTACTTGGCGATGTTTTGTAAGAATTTTTAATTTCCATATGATAAACACTGATGATGAAAGGCAGAGGACTGCACTGGCAACACAAGAGACAGTGATAGCCTTGGTAACAGGATCAGGTAAAAACAATCGGAGGACAGACAAAGACAGACTCAGTATCAAGATTAGGCCAGGTTTTACGTAAGTGGCTGCAAAGTAGCTATTGCGTCTTGAAACGAAGTATTTTTTCTTAATTATTCTGATAATGACCAAGCACCTATCAACAGCAATCAAAGCTACCATAGAAAAAGTGAATAGAATGTAAAATAAATACGACACCAGGAGATAATAGAACATTACACACGAACTGCGTTTTTGATAGGCGTCGAAGGCCATGCCTGGATGAATTGCCACACCGGCAAAAATGTTACACAACACCACTGACAACATATAGACTGAAAAGGACGTTTTGCCATCATTACATCCGCGTAAATTGAGCAGGTAAATTCCATTTAGGACAATCGTTAGCACACTGCACAACAACCAGATAAATATCTCGGTTAGGCCGTAGGATATTGAAAATTTCCCGCGCAGTAACAAGCATGATGAGTCAGCGGTCGAGTTAGATGTTGTTGTGTTGTAATGTGCACCTGGCTTCGTTGTATTGGTTATTAGTTGCCATGCAACAGTTGAGTTTACCAGCCATGACATTGCTTGTGCTCTTACCTAAAAGAAAGCATAATAAAACCAGTTAATTTATTCTTCTTTATCCTCAAGAAGATTTCATGACAGTAGAAAGCTTTGCTTAGTCCTGTTATTTACGTTAAAGATATTTATACAAAAGCTTCTATGATTTTAGCATTTATATCAAACCATTTACTTTCGTAAAGAGATCGAATAATTTCGAAAAATCTTCAGCGCACAGCATCGACCGGTCAAAAGATTAACGATTTACTTTGACATAGTTGAACGGTAAGATAACTTCATAACAAACCTTGTAGTTCATTGTGCATGCATAAGAGTAACGACTTAGATATACAAAAGTGAAGTAGGCATGCTAATATCTTATTTGGTCTGCCCTTATCGTCAGCATTCATAATTAACTACGAAAATGACTTGCATAAAGAATTGTATTATATTCCGTTTTAGAATGCAGCCCTTTTCAGTAAATGAAAAAAAACATTGCAATGTATCAAGCAAACATATATTCTGCGGCCCTGTCTGCTACAGAAGAACCTAACGATTTTAGAACCTTCTGGCAGAAATTTCCTTTTTTAAAACTCCAAAATATAAGAACCTGTTTAGCCAAACAATTTCCAACGGGTTATTATATTTGGAGTCGAGCCATTTAATTTATATACTTTTTAACGGAAAACCAAAAAGGTGACAGAAAATTTAATTGTTAAAATGAAACTAAAAATGTAGAATGTATTTTAAATTTGAACCGTTATAATGAAACATTACTGCTACTGTTTTTAGAATGTATCATTGTTGGTGGACTTTTGACAGCATTGGCTGACTAACAAATATTTAGAATGAAGAACAGACCAGATGATAAACAACAATATCTACTATGTCAAAATTAAGAACCTAATTATGAACCTATTCAGCCTAAACTGTTGTTATAGTGCTAGTTTGGATTTCCTTTGTTTTACAACTTGTAACCTTATTTATTTAACACCTTTTGCACATTCTATTGTTTATAATTCCTTTTGTTATCTAGTTGCACCTTTAGGTTCATTAAGACCCCGTTTACACGGGATCGATCCAGGCCGGGATCGATCCCAAACTGGTACGGATCGGCCTTCCGTTTACACGGGAACGCTCGGGATCGATCCGCTATCCGTGCTAATTTGGGTTCGCTTTGGAAAGCGTTCCAGTTTGGGATCGATCCAGTTTGGGATCGATCCCGTCTCGTGTAAACGCTCGAAAAGGTGGGATCTATCCCAAATTGGCACGGAAAGGGAACGAGGCTAATAAATTATCCAATTGGAGGTGCTTTGAACATGGTGCTTCGAGCTTTTTTCTATCAGATTTTGCGCGCATTCACATTTCTCGCCCACGAGAAGAGAAAAACAAAACAATATGGAGGAATTTTTTTACAACTTTATTGACAAATTTAGCGAACAGGCTTCAACTTATGGGAATGATTTATTCTCGACATAGATTGAGGCAGCGTCGCCTGTTGGAAACGCTTCACCCTCTTCCTCCTCATTTGGGTAGGCCGCT